TTTTAACAGTAATTAGGCAAGTTCGTATGATGAAAAACGGTTTCCAACACATTACTGTTATTTTCCGCCTGTTATGTTCTAATTTAACAGTTTTCCATCATACAAACTTGCTTCATTACTGTTAAAATTCGACTTAACATGTACGTTATGGATAACATAAACGTTCAATCATAGGACCCAATGGGTCCTATGATTGAACGTTTACGTTATCCGTAACGTACATGTTAGGCCGAGTTTTAACAGCAACGAGACAAATTCGTATGATGTAAAGTTTTTCATAACACGTTACTGTTATTTTCCACCTGTTATGTTCTAATTTAACGTATCGCCTCAACAGCCTCGAATAACATGCCGTTAAGTGTCCAACGTCTATGTTACCACTTTATTTGTTTATTATTTAATTATCTAATACCTATATTGTTAATTATCTGAATTCTTAGTATATTTGAATTTGTTTTTAAATTATATGATTTGTAAATACTAGCCAAAGGTTTGATTTTTTTTATCTAATATATTTGTTTTCCCTGTGAGAATAATTTTGTTTTTTATAACAAAATTATGTAGTTTCTCATACTATTACACAGTTGTTTTAGCTAATCTTTTCGCCATAAAAAAATTAAATAAAACTGAAAAATGAAAAACCTCATTTTAGTCATTTTTAGAAATGAAGTGAAGTTAGGTACATTTTGTGCGCACGCGCAATAACGCAAATAAATACTTTCTTCCATTCATAACAGCCAGCTCAACATCTTCTGTTATCGACTACTTCAATCATACGGATATGACACCTACTGTTATTTCATACGTTATCTGTTCCCTGTTAGCATAACATAACAGATTCGTGTTAAACTTAACGTAAACGTTCAATCATAGGACCCAATATCCGCTGTTGTCATTGTTAGTAAAGTGTATGTATTAAAATATTCGCTCAAGAAAACGATTCACCTCCCACTCTTTTGTCACAAGGCTGAATTTTTCACAGATGAAAGGTCATGATAAGGTAACCCTTATTCCGGAGTTAATACAAAATTAGAGTGTGCAGAAGGGCATTATCATCAAAAATTCAGATATTGATACCACCGAATAGAGAAAAAAATACTCATTTTTTAATCAAATGCACAATAAAATCTTTGTAGGGAGTAATTGTTCATACTTATTTAAAAAAAATCATTTGCATTAGCACTTACGGCTGAAAAAAAATATAAACGTAAATATCTTGGTTTTAGCCCTTCAAAAATTTAGTTAAAAAGTCGTCTTTTTTAAATATACCACTCATTTAACAAAAAACGAAGGCCTAAATGAAAATAGTATATTATGCAACGATCATGTAATGATGGTTATTAATACACGAGCATTAACCGGGATACGAAACGAGCCAAAGGCGAGTTTCGTATGGTTTATGCGAGTGTTTTAATAACCATTACATGAGAGTTGCATACGCTATTTTTTCTACACCCGATAAATAATCAAGACCTATAAATATTATATTTATATTGGTATTGAACACAATAACAGTAATTACTCGTATTTCTATAAAAAAATCTACAAAATTGTAATTAATGGTATTACTTCAGGTATTGGTATTTCCCTAGATTTTTGCGGTAAAATATTTTGTACTGTATTTTCTGCTTTCTCCGATATGTGTGGAGGAGTCTTCTATATCGCTAATATCAGACATTTTAATATTATAATTATCGAAGTTTAGCTACCTACGAAAATTTAATACGTTTTGACAACTAAAATAATTACATAGGAACCTAGGACAAACGTCAAACAGCATGCTTGATTGAAAAATTGTAGGTTTCTATTGATTAAAAATCTGTATCGTAATGAAAAATCTGTATCATAATGGGTATCATTATGAAACGGATTTTGGGCATATAAGTGCATTATTATAATACGGGTGTAGAAAAAAAAACATTCCTTATAAAATTTTTGGTTATGTGTTGACAAGGTAACAGAGTAAACACCATATTTTTTGCTTTTGAATTAACAAAGATATAACAATAAACGATGAGAGATGTCATAGGTTTATGCTGTTATTAATTCTCACCGCCAAATTTATCAACTCTCAGTGTATCTTTCTCTTCACCTTCAAACGTAGCATAGCTCTGTTTCTCTCTACGTGCCGGCTGATGTATCACATTATTGATATGGTAGGATTTTTCTTTTTTTTTTATTATAAAACTTCTCGTTATGTTCCATTGGGCAATGTGTCATATTGTTATCTGTTTTTACTAAAGAATTAATAAGTGTATGTGTTATATATTAAATTACCTAATAAATTGGGAAAAAATATAGACATTTTTGCATCTTTATTATATCTACATTCATCCTGTTGCAGCTGAATATATTTGGGTAAGTCATAAGTTTTCGTTTAAAATTTTAATTACGGATTTGTTGCTACAAGTAGCAAAGACAAAAATTATATCAAAATAGGAAAGCTCAAAAGTTGCATATCATTTAAAGAATATGCTCATATATTTGTAAACATTATTTTTAGAAATAAATTTAATGCTCAAATGATAGATGTGGTATTTGATCATTATAAAGGACATTCTATCAAAAATACAACACGTCAAAAGAGAGGATTTCAGAAATCAATTGATATAGAAATTGACCGACCCAATATTCTACTTCCGCAACAATAGAACTTGTTTATTCATTCGATATTTAACAAAAGACGTTTAACACATTTTCTGCCAGAGCAACTTCTTCAAAACTCGCAATAATCAATAAATATGGAAAGATTTTAAACCATCAAAAGACGATTTTTTAAATTCAAATCACGAAGACGCTAATAATCGTATCTTATTGCACATATTGTCAGCCAAAAATTCGGGGCATTCACGCTGCATTATTTATTGCAACGATACAGATGTCTTATTAATTTATTTTAAGAAGTTTTTGACTAAAGATATATGGTTCAGAACAGGGCGAGGAGACTCAAGACGATTTCTAGCAGTACATTATTTAAATTTGGATGAAAACCTTTTAAAAAATGTGCCTGCTTTTCATTCTCTGACCGGTTGTAATACAACCAGCTAATTGTCCAGCATTGGGAAAAGAACCTGTTGGAAAACTTACCTTTAACACCATTACTTTTTGGATGGATTTGGCATTGATCAGTACTCTGAAAACATATTCTCTAATCTTAAAAGAATTTTCATAAAAATTTATTCAAAACTGCCAATGTTACTTCCATTAACATTTTGGGGGGATTATTGGCCTCTTCAAAAACCATCGCTAAATTGCCACCGACTGAAGACGCCCTAAGACTACATTGTTTAAGATGTTTTTACCAGCTAAATATTTGGCTAACCTCTTTAAACCCAGATGCAGCTTCCTAATGTTGAAGAGTATGGATGGAAAGTAGATCAAGATGGAAGTCTGATACCCACTTTTAAGACTCTGTCCGACCTGCCACCAGACATAACAGAACTTACATCATGCAAATGCAAAAAAGATACTATACAATATTCTAACAATAATATTCTGTTTTAGACTGTGGAAGCAAAATTTGCAAATGCAGGAAAAAAATATTTGCTGTATCGGTTCCTGCACCTGTATGGCACAGCCGCTAATGTTTTGGAAAATGTTGATTCGTGTGGTGAATCTGATTCTGATTAGTTTGAAAGTCGTGTAATTATAAATTTTAATATTATTAATTTATGCTTTATATACTTCCTTCCAATTATTATTATTATTATTATAATTTATTTATATTGGGGATTTATTGTATTTTGCAAAGCAATAGCCTTACTGTTTATAATTGATACTTCAATAAATACCTTTAATAAATAGTTTATATTTTCTTATTTTTCATTTTCCACCAAAAATAAAAAAAAATCTTGAAGTAATTAATACACCCTATTATTCATAGTGGAAAAATCAATAATCCCTGTATAAAATAATGTTAGAGATTCAAACTGATTGCATACATTTCAATACTGAGATAGATGCATAACTAATTGTTTATTGCTATATTTTTGTTAATTTAAAAGCAAAAAATATGACGAAAGTACTTTTACCTTGTCAATATATAGGCGAAACTTTTATAAAGAATAGTTGTTTTTCATTTATGCCTTCGTTTTTCGTCAAATGAGAAGTATATTTCTAAAAGAACATTTTTTATACAAATTTGTAGACGGTTGAAACCGAGATAATGGGTGGTATGATTGAACGTTTATGTTATCCGTAACGTACATGTTAGGCCGAATTTTAAAAGTAACGAGGCAAGTTCGGATGATGGAAAACTGTTAAATTAGAAGATAACAGGCGGAAAATAACAGTAACGTGTTGGAAAAAGTTTTCCATCATACGAACTTGCCTCATTACTGTTAAAACTCGGCCTAACATGTACGTTACGGATAACGTAAACGTTCAATCATAGGACCCATTGACGTTTAAATTTTTTTTTCGACCATAAGGGCTAATGTAAATGATTTTAAATAATTATAAAAAAAATACTTTTTACAAAGACCTAATTGAGCATTAGAACAAAAAATAGCCATTTTTAACCAAATTAGATGTAATTTCATTAAATTAGATGTAATAATTTTCAACAAATTCCAAAACCTAGAGATGTTAAATTGGAAGTGGCAACAGGGCTTACACCGGCATGGAAATTTACGCTATGTAGTATAAGCTCGGGCAGTTATTCATTGATAAAACTACGTAAAATCCTTCACTCTATCCCTTCTCTTACTTCTCACCTTTCGTCGCCTCGCCCCGCGTCTAGAAATAGAATATATACAGTACTAACTATTGTTGGCACCATGAATATTATATTTTATGAATGACTGCTTATATCTCTGTTATCTCTGCTAAAAACCCTTTTTTCCTTATTGAACCAAACCACATCACAATTCATTCGAAAATCTGGTACATTTTACAGAATCTAGTACATTTTTATGCAATTTGGTACATTTTTTAGACAAATCTGGTACGTAACAAAAATATATTCTGGCAACACTGCAACAGACAACGAACAAACCATAGAAACAAACAGCTGATATGATGACATTTTCTGTCTATATACGTCAACATAGAAATTATTTGTTTTAAATTAAAATGGATTTCGAATTTCCAAAAGAATTTGATGTAATAATTGTTGGAACTGGTGTAATAGAATCGATATTATCAGCTGCAGCAAGTCGTGTAGGAAAAAGAGTATTACACATTGACGAAAACGAATATTATGGTGGACAATGGGCTTCCTTTAATTTGGAAGCTATAATGAAATTAAAAAATTCTCAAAAAGAAAGAATTGCTAACAAGTCGGATTCAAATTTTTTATCATTTGGTAATGATTTGTTTAATATTAAAAATATAGACTATAAATTTCATGTTTTGCCTAAGAAAAATAAAGTTTGCTCTGAAGAAAAAGACAAGGAAGTTGTTGACAATAACTTACAAGAGGTATCTCAAGACGATAATGAAGAAACCTGGGATGAAGAATTACTTATTAAAACATCGAGAAAATTTAACATTGATCTTTGTCCAAAACTACAGTATGCTAGGGGAAATTTTGTAGAATTGCTTATTTCTTCAAATATTGCTCGTTATTCTGAATATAGAAGTGTTACCAGAATTTTAACATGGTTGAATAACCACTTAGAACCATTACCATGTTCAAGATCTGATGTTTTTGCAAATACTAGGGTGAGTGTTGTAGAAAAGAGAATGTTAATGAAGCTATTGACCTCTCTAAATGATGAAGAAAAAGAAACACAAAACTACGAGAGTAAAACATTTAAAGAGTTTTTAACAGATAAGAAATTAACATCAAATTTGGTACATTATGTTTTATATGGAATTTCAACAAGTTCAGACCATACTCAATGTAAAGAAGGCATTCAAAAAGCAAAAAGATTCTTAAATAGTTTGGGCCGTTTTGGTAAAACTCCTTTTTTATTTTCCATGTATGGAAGTGGAGAAATACCACAAGCTTTCTGTAGATTAAGTGCAGTATTTGGAGGTATATTTGCATTGGGACAACCCATAGAGGGATTTGCCTTAAATGATGAAAAATTTAAATCATTAACTGTACGATCCCAAACAATAAAAGCTGAACATTTAGTAATGGGCATAGAAAATCTCCCAAAACAATTTATTAAATCTAAAAAGCATGATTATATTTCTAGATGTATATTAATTACTAACAAATCAGTATTAGATTGTGAAAAGGAACAATTAACATTAATATTTTACCCTCCTGAAAATAATAAATCATTCACTACAATAATTGAGTTAGGATATCTTACAGGCACTTGTCCAAATAATGTATACCTAGTTCACTTGATTGCTAAACAGGATACCTCCCCACAAGAAGATTTTAAACACATAATAGACAAATTATTTATTAACAGTTATCATGAAATGGCAGAAAATAATCATGATAAACCTCATATTTTGTGGTCTTATTATTGTTCCATAAATGATAGTAATGATGTAGAATTGACTGAAGATTTACCTAAAAATATTTTTGTTTGTCCTGGACCAGATTTGGATTTAGATTATGACTTTTCTGTAACCAAAGCTAAAAAAATATTTAATGCAATGTACCCTGATTTGGAATTTTTACCACGAGCTCCAGATCCTGAAGAAATTATTATTGGAGATGATGAGATAACCGAAGAAGCTAAAGAAATAACCGAAGAAGCTAAAGAAATAACTGAAGAAGCTAAAGAAATAACTGAAGAAGCTAAAGAAATAACTGAAGAGGCTAAAGAAATAACTAAAGAAATGACTGAAGAAGCTAAAGAAATAACCGAAGAAGCTGAGGAAACAACTGAAAATGAAATCAATGATGTGAAAAATGAAAAACAAGAAACTATCAGTGAAGAAAGGCAACATACAGTGGAATAATTATAAGCTTGAAACCTTATATACCGGGTGTTCTACATTAAAGCGTTACAGCTATATACCGCTTTTTATAAAAAACAACGTTTCAGACGAAAGTTTTATAGTTTTGTAGGGAAAATCTTTTGGCTAAAATCGTTTTTTATAGCTAACCATAAAATAGCCAACTTTTTTTTTCGCGCAGCAACATTTTCAAGTAGCTGTTACTCAAAAAGTAAAAGTCCAATAAAAAAAATATTTCCCTCAAAAGTTTCTTATTTTTTTATGTACTTTAAGAATATGTAAGAAAAAAATGGGATTCCCATTTAAAAAAACAAAGTTCACCTCGATATGGCCATATTATGGTCAGCTATAAAAAAATGAATTTAGCCAAAATGTTTCCCCCAAAAAACTATAAAACTTTTGTCTGAAACTTTTTTTCTAAAATGCATATTTTCGGCGGTATTTAACTGTAACACTTTAATTTGAACACCCGGTATATTTTATATAATTATAAGCTTGAAACTTTTTATTTATTTTTATACAATTTTTTGTTATTCCATTATTTTTCTGTGAAGGCATTAATATAAATAGTAATAAGTATCTAGATGTTTTACTTTAGTTTATATCTATATATTTAAACGTTAATATATGTTTGTCAGAAATTTATTATATTATTACTCAAACTTCTCTCTACTAAATGTTTTGATGCAACACTAGTAGTCTTCATAAAATCATATTATTACATAATGGTTTCCAAAAAGCAATTGTTAAATAGTCAAACATCATCTTTAATTCAAATAAAATCCAGCTTGCCTCAGGGTTCGGTACTGGGGCTACTTGTGTTTTTATTTTATACATCTGATTTATATAGGTAATCATATTACTAACTGTAATGTTCAATTTTTTCTGATGGCACATAATATTTTTAAACTTTTGCAGATTGTAAGTATAAATCCAGTTAACTTATTAAATCAAGACCTAAGTGAAATTAATTCATAATCTTTAAATCATAACCTGCACACCAAATCCTTTGGATATCTACTAAACATCCCAATATCCACTGAATGTCCAGTCCATGGTGTATATCTATTTTATATCCATGATATGTAATTTATAGACATGCAAATGTCCATAAATAATAGTAATTATATAGCAAATTATTAAAAAACTACGCCATTGTGGCAAATAGTACCGTTCAGATATTTAAAATTAATTTTTTTAAGGTGTATTCAATATACCATGCATAGGCGCCGAATCCCCGGGGCTAGCACCCAGAGCAGTTTTAAAAAGGGTGCGGAACACCCATAGCACAACGAGGACAAAAAGTGTCAATACTCGTAAGTGAAATGAAGAAACTGTCGTGGCGCAAGTTGGTATAGCGACAGATGCTTCAATAAAATATCGTTCGGAACTGTATTTTTAGTGATAAAAAATTCGCCGTGACTTGTCATGTACAACGCGTTGAACTTGGACAAGGGTTTATTATTATTGGTGTATAAAACCCTATGACGTCAAAAAAGAAAGATTAATAACGGTCTACAATTATCAAGGCAAGATCTTTGTACATATGCCATTGAGCAAATGCTTGAGAGGAAAAGGTAGAACATTTGAAAGTTGCTCCCGATCAAGCACCGTTAGAAAAAACGTTCATTTAGAGCTCTCTAGTATTGCTGGGGAGAAACCAGGTCATCTACTACAAAACGTTTGGACCCGTCAATTTTGTTTTTAGGGGGAAACATTGTTTTAGCAGTTTCACCCCCTGAGCGGAAACCCTCTATCGGTGGTGAGACTCACCAGTTATATCTTAAATGGAAAGATTGGTCGATTGATATGTTAATTTGAAGGCATTTTTACCTAGATAATAACCGTTGTAGAGTCGGCATAAAAGTGATAATGGTTAACTCTATTGCTGAGAGGGTGCAAATCATTTTACTTCTTGTGAACAATGAATGTGCTAATAGAACTGCCTAACTGTTTAACAATCAACATCAAAATCGACAAGTCTATCGAAACTACATTTTTGGAGTTAGTCCAAATATTTTTGAAAACAGGATCAGTAGCTAACAAATAATGTGAATGGAAAATTATGTAGTAAATGAAGCTACAGAGTTAGCGATTTTAGGACATGTTGTTCAAGAACCCTTATTGACTACAAGACAGTTGGCGATAACATCTGGTATTAAGTCGGTATTAAGAGACATTCAGAAGATATTGAAAAAACACGTTTCATTCCTACAAAATACATCTGTTCAAAGAACTTAACGAAGACGATTTTGATAGGCGATTACAATCTTGTGAAATTATGACTGAACGGGCATTAAATGATCAGCAATTTCTTTTCAACGTGTGTTATTCAGACAATGCACTTTTTTTCTAAAGGGTACAGTAAATCGTCACAACTGTCGTTATTGGTCCGATTCAAGTCCCAAAATATTTCATGAAGTGCATACGCAACATTCGGAAAAACTGAATGTTTGGGCTGGCATTTTTGGTAACCGTATAATGGGCCCCTTTTTTACCAGAAACTTTAACCGCAGAAATGTATCTGGAATTATTAGAAAACGCTATTTATCCAGCATTACTAGAGTTGATTGAAAATGACGATCAGTACATAGCAAACAACTTAATATTCCAGCATGACGGTGAGCCACTGTTCGTCAGTATTTGGATCAAACGTTTCCAGGATCGGAAGAAGAGGAAGTATTGAGTGGCCCCCATAGTCTCCGTATCTAAGCCCGTTGGATTTTTTATGGGGCCACTTAAAAACTAAAATTTATGCCAATCAGCCAACATCACTGGAAAATCTGCGACAACGGATAATTGATAAATGTTATCAAATCACCCCACAGATGCTTCAAAATGTCCGAACAATTTTGAACAATACCTTTATTATTGCATGGAGGCCCAGAGTCAGCATTTCTAGCATTTACTCGAGTAACTGTTAGGCTTTTACAGAAAATAAAAAAATCGTTAAAAGATCATGGCTAGGAAGACAGTAGCGATTTAAAACTCGGGGATTATAATCTATGTAAAAATACTTTAAAATACCAGTGGTGGCTGCACTGAGCATATAGGGTTGGGTGGGAGCCTCCAAGCCTATCCTACAATTGGACAATACCTTTTTTTTTTCAAGAAAATGTTCATAAAATCAACTTTAAAATAGCTTTTTTCAAAAATCGGTGGGGCCTTTAAGTGATGTGTGGAGGGTGGGGAGAGATAGCCCCCTCATTTTCCGCATAGAATCCGGGCACCCAAAGCGATTTTTGAATTTCGGCGCCTATGGAATCCCATGTACATCCAATAAATATATCAAAGTCTAGGCGCGAACGCAAACCATGGTGGATATCCACTAGATGTAATTTTTGATTTTGCTTACTAAGTATAGATGGCGATACCATTATATATCTACTCATGCTCAACCCGCCGTAATTGAGTTAGATCAAAATTGTTTTCCCAATCACTCCATTTAGAGACTGGATGAGTCGAGAATTTCCATTTATTGCTGAAGAGTCCTAATAAGGATGACTTCATCCTATAGTGGGCAAAATCAAAGGCAGAGTGTTGAAAATATTTTTTATCTCTGCTATTTTCTTTCGACGTTATTCAATAATCATTGGTTACTTATGAACCTCTACTAAAGATACCCATAAAATATTTTGATGAATATCCGAATATCTTCTATATCCTGGGATATAGACGGACATTTGGTTGGATATCCATATTGGATATATTGAATATCCACAAAATATATTCTGTGGATATCTCTGTGATTTCTTGTATTTTCTGAAAGATACCCATTAGATATTTTGCTGAATATCCATTAGAATATCTTCTATATCCTGGATATAGACGGACATTTGGATATCCATATTAGATCCACGGAATATTTCTGATATGCTGTGGATATATTGGATATCCACAAAAGATATTCTGCGGATATCTCTGGGATTTGGTGTGTTGTCTGTGTTCACTATAACTTATGAACGGATACAAAGAAAAACATCAAATTTTAAACTCAAGCTTTATTCCGGCCTGCGGTGAACTGATTAGATTTTGGGCAGAGTCAGAACATCTGGGGGGTACTTTATATTTTATGGAATATATGTTATTTACGTTTAGAGAAGAAAATACTTCAAATAAAAGTTACTTCTAATATTATTCTCTATAATTTTTGTTCTATACAAAATTTTCCTAAAATGGTCCGTATTCGAGAAATTTGACAAAATGTAAAAAAAAATTAAATTTTTATGAAAATTGTTTAAATAAAAGTTGTTTGTGATCTAATTCTTTATAATTCTTGCCCCATACATAATTTCTCTAAAATGGTCCATATTTGAGATATTTGAGAAAAAGTGTAATCTCGAATTTTGAAGAAAACTCAAAAACTGATTTTGAGTCAGAACATCTGGGGGGTACTTTATAGTGGGTCGTTTTTGTTATTTATGTTTGGAGAAAAAAATTGTTGAAATAGAAGTTACTTCTTATAATATTCTCTATAATTTTTGTCATTTAGAAAATTTTCCTTAAATGGTCCGTATTCGAGAAATTCTACAAAATGTAAAAAAATTAAATTTTTAAGAAAATTTTTCAAATTTAAGTTGTTTGTGATATAATTCTCCATAATTCTTGTTCCATACATAATTTCTCTAAAATGGACCGTATTTGAGAAAAAGTGTAAATTTCGAATTTTTAAGAAAAAAAAAAACGGATAAAAAACATTAATTTTAAACTTAAGCTTAATTCTGGCCTGCGGTGAACTGATTATATTTTTGGCAGGGTCGGAACATCTGGGGGGGGGAACTTTATAGGGGGTCGTTTTTATATTTTATTAAATATATCAGTTATTTACGTTTGGAGAAGAAAATTGTTCAAATAAAAGTTACTTCTAATATTATTCTCTATAAATTTTGTTCCATACAAAATTTTCCTAAAATTATCCGAAATCGAGAAATTTGACAAAATGTGCAAAATTCTGATTTTTAAGAAAATTGTTAAAATAAAAGTTGTATGCGATATCGGTCTCTATAAGTTTTGTTTTATACATGATTTCTCTAAAATGAACTGTAATGATAAAATTGGAGGAAAAGTGTAAAATATTAATTATTTAGTATTTTCGTTGGCAATGAATACATATAAAAATGTTTCGAGTTAGAAATATGTGTAAAATGTATATATTTAGTTTATCCTCTAAACACTTACAGAGGTACTACCATAGGTTGTACAAAATAACCGGAAAAAGTCTATAATAACTAGATAGGAAAGTTATGTGTTGGATACATCAGATATTTGAAGATAGGCACCACATAACTTCATTTCCACGTCTGGGAAATCATTTAATTTTATCAAGGAATTAAATAATAAAGGACGAGTCAATGTGAAAATACATTTTTATTTTAAAGAACGAAGGACAATATACCATTAAAAACTTTGTAATGAAAAATTGAGAGGATAGGAGGAATATGAAAGCAGTTTTTAGTATCTAAATTAATATTTAGTAAGTCGATTTTCATGACTAGAAAAGTGTTCAATAAATAAATCTGCGATGCGTTAAGAGGTATCAGCTACCTTATCATTTTAAAACACAGTGTTAAGCACAGAAGAGTAATTTTTTAAAGATTTATAATAGCTCCTGTAAAATTTGGGTTTAAAAATGTGAATCATGACAAACTCTTAGCAATGCTTTATTGCAACAAACATCTTCGTCTTGATAAAATCTATGTATGTGAAAGCTAAGGTACAGTAAGTAACACTGAATACCATCCTTACTAAACACCGCTGCTGAGTTAGGACTCCAAAATAGGAGAAATCTTTTATTTTCACCTTCTCCAAAAAAATGTTATTCTTCATAAAAGTTTTTGCGCTTCAAAACTAATAATAATCCAAAAGGAAGTTGAAATAATAACAAAAATGTAAAAAAAATTGTCATTGTGTTTTTCAGTCCATCAACTATATAGAACATACACTTGAGTTTTTTTGTTGAAATCATTTTCGATTAAATTATTTATTTTATTGTGGAAATTTTTCTATGGTGGAAATGTAAACTTTTATTTTGTACCAATAAAGGCCTTTTATTATAATAATTTATTAAACCACAAATTTGGGTTCTAAAAAAATGATTTCTGAAACAATCATTAAACTTTTAATATACGTAATTACATTTAACTATCTAGTCATTCATTAATCACAAGTAATTTTCCAGTCACATTAAAATTGAGAAATGGGATTATATTAACAAAAAAAAATTAAATACAAAAGGTAGTATATTTTTAACAAATAAAGAATAAGATACAATTTAAATAGATTAAAAGCTAATTACACCAAGGATAATCATCTTTTTTATATGGAGTTAAAGGTAAGTCATACATAAATGGAAATAATGTTTTATCTCTATTTTTAGCAGAATTGGTAATTTCAAAATACTCCTCATCAAAAAATTTTGGTAAAAATAGAACGCCAACCTCAAATGATCTTATATAGACTCCCATATCTTTTCCAAAAGGGCCTCCCCAAGCCGATTTAGACAAATTAGCACTAGTAATCAAATAATATGCCAATTTACTTAAACAAGGAGAAATACGACAATAAGTTTTTATATGCGGCATTGCTCTACTTCTACCAAATGAGGATGCTTTCCACTGATACAGATATTCCTGTAACCATTTTTGTTTCTCATTTGTAGCCTTTGAATATGGCAAGCAACCCCCACTTTCTGGACCCAAATACCCAGTCATGACATTATCAACACTAGGATAAACTAAACTTATACTAGCACTTGAATTCATTGGTTTGGAGCAACCTTTGTGACTAGCAAGGCACCTGAGTACAGATCCTCTTAACCAATCTGCAGGTTTTTTACCCAATGAACCAATACTTGATGCTTGGGCTATTATGCCCCAAGCCAGAGGGCCTTCACTTTGAGGTGTTGTTTTTGCAGGCAAACTGCAATGACTGCTTAGTAGATCAGCAACACTATGCAAATGGCTTCCATTTGTATTTGGATAATACTTCCCTGGTGCTGAATATGTTAAAAATACTCTTATTTGGCTAAAATCTGCTTTTTGTACATATTCTATAAAAGGTTTGAGAATAGTCTCATTGTAAGACCTTAAGTAACTTAATAGATTTGCCTTAAATTTAGTAATTGATTCACCATCTTTTTCTGTACAGGTCTCTGGAAGCCTTTTACATAGAGGACTAACCCATAATCCTTGGTTGTAATAATTCCAATCTTCATAATAAAGATTTGCTGTAGAAACAACTACTCTAACAGAATTATCTTCATACACATATATACCAATCTTGGAATGATGGCATCCAAAAGGATCTTTCATTTTAATTAACTTGCTAGTTACATGGGGACAAAACATTTTTATGAACTTTTCCATATCTGGCCAATCATCACCATATAAAATAGTAAGAGGTTTTGAGCTTAAATTTCTTTCCTTATATTGTTTTAATAACCAGTCAATATCAATCATAAAATTTATTTGTAAAGAACATTTCAAAACCCCTAAGCTTGGACAAAGCAGATCTGTGAAAGTAATGGAATTAGGTTGCATCTTAGTTTCAGGTGCCTTCATTATAGTAGTAAAAAATAGATTGTAAGGAGCTGCCCTGTTCATTTTATCTGACATTGTTTCCTTACTTGAAGAACTTCCCGAATTGATATCTTGTTTTTGATGTGACCTAGTGTGCTTGCTACTTGTGGTTGAACTGGAGGTGACATTTTGTTTTGGATTAGTAGCCACTGTGTAGGAAGCTGTCTTGATCTTTTTATCTGACATATTTTTCTTACTTGAAGAACTTCCAGATCCAGAATTTACATCTTGTTTTTTATGGTTATTATTTGAGGCTGAAGTGGATGGTAAATTTTGTTTTTGGTCAGATGCAGTTAATTTACTTTTAGCCATATTTAATAATGGTTTTAAAATTTCTATTTGTTCCAAATATATTTCTTTTGGTTGAGTAAAATCACTGGGTATTTCTATTGAATCGCCCATATCAATAAGTTTCATTAAATGTGGATGATCAAATTCCTTTAAATGGTGAGGATTTCTTCGGTAACACTTTGTAGAATGAGGACACTCTTCTTTTTTTAATCTTTTTGTAGTATGTTCTGAATTTTCATTTTTTCTTTTTGTAAACATGTTTATTCTAATCTAATCTAAATAATCGTACAATCTGGTGATGTGGTTATATATTTTTTTTTAATTTTGACAAACTTTTTAACAAAAAAAAGCAAGGTTATGTTATATTCTAAAGTTAGTTCGTCTTCGTAGTTCTGCTCAAATGGTTCTGCGTCCGGTATCGGGGGATATTTATGTTCTGTGTTCTTAAAGCAAGGTGTACACTGTTTTAAAATGATCGGAAGAATAGTTGTTGGGTGGTATGATTGAACGTTTACGTTATCCGTAACGTACATGTTAGGCCGAGTTTTAACAGCAAAGAGACAAATTCGTAGGATGTAAAGTCTTTCATAACACATTACTGTTATTTTCCGCCTGTTATGTTCTAATTTAACAGGTTTCCATCATACGAACTTGCCTCGTTACTTTTAAAATTCGGCCTAACATGTATGTTACGGATAACGTAAACGTTCAATCATAGGACCCGTTATTTAAGGACCGATTCCACCGTTGTGTTAAACGAAGTTTAAAATGAAATTTTTACTTTGGGTCCTATGATTGAACGTTTATGTTATCCGTAACGTATATGTTAGGCCGAATTTTAAAAGTAACGAGGCAAGTTCGTATGATGGAAACCTGTTAAATTAGAACATAACAGGCGGAAAATAACAGTAATATGTTATGAAAGACTTTACATCATACGAATTTGTCTCTTTGCTGTTAAAACTCGGCCTAACATGTACGTTACGGATAACGTAAACGTTCAATCATACCACCCATTAACAATGTCATTTTAATCTCCGTTTACCACAACGGTGGAATCGGCCCTTAGGGCTGATTCTACCGTTGTGTTAAACGAAGTTTAATTTACTAAACGAAGATTAAAAATGACATTGTTAATTTAAAAATGTCATTTTAATGTTCGGTTAATAATTTAAACTTCGTTTAACACAACGGTGGAATTGACCCTAATGACCGATTCCACCGTTGTGTTAAACGAAGTTTAAAATGACATTTTTACATTAACAATGTCATTTTAATCTCCGTTTAACACAACGGTGGAATCGACCCTAATACGAGTTATTTAGGACAAAAACTTATAAATAAACCAAAAATTAGCCGTAAGACAATAAGTCACGTGTGCATGTCCACTTACGTACTACTTTAAAACGTTGGAGAGAAAAAAATGGCCCCGGTCTGAACCTCGCGCACTTTCGTGAAATCATTGGACACATATCTTATTACACTTTAATAATAAATTCAGCTATAAGAAAATAAATCACTCGTAAGCCCACTCACGCACCACTTTAAAACGTTAAAGAGAAAAAATGATCCAGAGAATGAGCTTAACGAAAATGTTAAGAAAATAGGTCGTTTTTGAAGGGCACGTACCACTTGTAGTGCCTATAGCTACCTATAAGCGCCCCAGTCTGAACTTCGCCCTTTCGTAAATTTTTTGGACACGTATCATAGTACAATTTAATAATAAATTCATCCATGAGAAAATAAGTCACAAAATCTGCACGTTGGCTCTAGGGCTATAAGCTATAAGTAATATGTTATATGAGTACGAAGGTTGTAAAGAAAAGAAAAGACTTACAACCACTTACATAAGGCTACCCTCACTCCTAATACATAATTTTACATTTTACTTTCTGAATCAAAATAGGTAATGATTTGATTAAATTTGAGAAAATCAGAACTCCGAATTAATTAAGCAAGAAATAATTACAAAATTTGAAATAAATTTAGAAGAGAATCCAATCTTTTAAATGTTGTTATCTTTAATGACACAATATAGGCATAGATTTCTAGTTTTATTTGTCTCATTGGAAATAAACCCGCCCCTGTGATGCGGCAGGGATGTGCGGCAGGGTCACATCAGTAGGTAAACGATTCAATGAAAAAATGCTGCGTTTGAGAATCCACATCGGATGCATCTGAGATGTAAAAAATCTTTGATCACGTGATTCAGTATACGTAAATGTAATGGGACCATAGCCCTCAGAAAGTCTAGATACCTCTTGGCGTATGCTGTCAATACAAAAAAATGACCCCATTCAAGCTTGTCGCCATGTTAGGTAAATTTATGTTTTGGCTACACTGATTTTTAGTTTGTGTGTTCTGTAATACGTGAACACCGATAATCTGCACTTTGTTATTAGTTATAAGTGAGTGAGACGCACAATTTCTAATTAAGAACAAAACTTTGACAAACCTATTTGATTTTCCTTGATCTGTTCAGACAGGACCGGTTTTATAAATTTTCTCGTTCTTGAAATGTTATTTTTACATCGTTATATATATATTATTGGATAAGTGTTTTGTGTACATATTGCTATGAGAATTATAGAGAAATTCAGTGAGATTTATGTAATATAGTTCAAATTACAAGTAAACCATCTGTTCCTGTTTGGCAATATGGAGAAAATACCTACTTCAATGTCAAATGTACTATTTAAAAGAATGTAATTGTTAACCGGTCATTTATTTATATTATGAAAATAAAACCTCGAATTTTTTAACTAGGGAAATATACAGGGTGTTAAAAAAAAGTGTCACAAAATGAAATGGTGAATAGTATGACCCAAAATAAGCAGAAAAGTCTTAATAAATATATGACCGCAAATTAACGGTTTCGGAGATACGGACCATTTTGTGTTTATAACAATTTTTTATTTTTATAAAAAAACAATGATATTTATAAACAATCAATAACAACATAGAGGTAAATGAGATGTTCAAAGTGCCCTCCCTCCATTTCAATGCATTGCCATTTGCACGACCGTACATAAAATGCATGTCAGCTAATTCAATATTAGTGTAAACAGGTGTAAACGAAAATTTATAAAATTATTCACCTACAACAAAATAATAACTGCAAATAGTATCTATGAAAAAACATCGGTAGACTCTGATAAGAAAAGCAAGTTTTTGAGAATGAAAAAAGATAATCAAAAAATAATAAAAAACACAAAACACTCCGTATCTCTGAAACCATTCATTTGCGGACATATGTTTATTAAGACTTTTCTGCATATTTTGGCCCATACTACCCCCCGTTTTGTCTTGTGACACTTTTTTTTAACACCCTGTATACTTACATCGGTAACAAGGTATTTTTAGACAAACTAACAGATTACTCCTATTCCTATAGTTTATTTGAAAATGAATAATAGCAAAATTATATAAAAATATGGACCTTTGCCATAAAAACTGTGCTACCAAGCATTTTCAAATAAACTATAATGATAATTTGATTTAATAGAGCGAGTATAAGATCTCACCTGTTAGAGAAATTGGGGCATAGGGAAGAGATTATGAAGCAGGTAAGCAAAGTCGTTGCAAAAGATAAATATAGAAGTTATTTTAAAAATTTGATAAAAAACTAGTGGAACAACAAATGGAGTTGTCGCTATCGGAGATCCAATCAGCAGAAAGTAAAAAAAAACTTTGCGAATGTTGGAAAAGGGCACAGCAATAGGCCCAAAACAATTCCTTGGTTTTTTAATAAATATAATCTTGTGAGATGTAAAAAATACTGCTAGAGTGGAGAAGCAGTATTGTTCTAATGTAGAAAACCCAGGGACATACAGCAGTGCACTAACCATAGGCGAATAGTCACTAAATTATACAAGAGTCCCATCTCGATTTTATTTTTAAATATTTTTGAGAATACCTATTATTATTTGTTACATTGAGTTTAATAAAACCACAGATTTCGAATGTATTGAAAGTTATTTAAAAAGTACCTCTATAAATATATAGAAAATGTGTATATGACTAACTGGTTTTATTAATCTTTTTTTGGGGTAGGTAAATATATTTTGAAAAATTTACAATCTTCTTTTGAATAAAAGACAAAATATTTCTGTTTTTATTAACTGAACAATATTTTATACAAACATAATATATACCTATTTAAAAGAAAATATTACATTTTACAAGTATCGCATATTTATATGAAATAACTTACTCAATAAGAAAGAATTAAATGAAACAAATTAATAAACAATGGATATGAAAAATTGCTTTAACAATTTAATCCTTAGATAAACTTATTCTTACATATTGCTTTAATCAATTTATTCACTATAAAAGTATATTTCCTATCATTTATTACATGTAATAAAATAAAGCATAAAACATACAAACTATAATATGTACCTACTTAGAACGGAACTAATATTATTGTATCAAGGTAGTAATAGTGGACATTTTCCGAATAAAAAAAAGTAAAAAAGAAGTAACGGTCGACACGTTTTTCTGACTATTGGTCTTCATCAGTACGGTGCAGCCAAGTTCAAAGGATCATGGAACGTGTGTTGGAAAAATTGTACAATAGGTCACTAACAAGGAGCCAATAACACATTTGCCGTTTCAGCTAGTATCCCCAAATTTTCTGGGCTTATATTAAAGTCACAAAATGATTCAATGGTCTTCCTATGGCTATCAGTTATTCTTTCCTAAAAATTTTTGGTATGCTACAACAAAACACAAATTATTTGATTTTGAAAATATACAAATATTTTTGAAAACTTACACATGAAATGTTATTCCTTCCTTGTATCTTCTACCGTTGGATGCATTGTTACATTCACGTACAAAACAACAAGAGATTTTGAAAATCCTGTAAAAATTTAACACCAAACCACAAATATTTTTTATTAAAATAAAACACTAAACGACTAAACTAAAAAATAATGTTTGAAATAAAACCTTTACTAGAAGAACAAAATAAACAACACAACAGATAATAAAATCGATTATATACGTCGAACGCCGATCTTACGCTTATTACTAAACTTGTGCCGATTCTGTCTTGTCAGAAGCGCCAACTTAAAATTTATTGACATTTATTTATCATGGCGCCCATCATATGGGGGGTCAAAATATTTTTACGATGCGGTATCTAGACCTTCTGAGGGCTATGAATGGGACAGATGTGTCCGATGTGGATAAAAAAACGCTCGAGATGTAAAAAATGCATCCGATGTGGATTCTCAAATGCTGCGTTTGAGAATCCGCATCGGATGCATTTTTTACATCTCGAGCGTTTTTTTATCCACATAGGACACATCTATCCCATTACATTTACGTATACTGAATCACGTGATCAAATATTTTTTACATCTCAGATGCATCGGATGTGGATTCTCAAACGCGGCAAAAGGCAGCATAATATCATAGAACACAGACCTACACATGGCCCGGGAATTTTGAAAGAACTGAATATAAAAATGTTTAACCCCCAGAGTAAAGAAGTATATCTAATGTTTAACCTTGTATAAAATAATTTATTCATTATCAATATTTGTAATATATTTTTATTCAATTCATTATCGTCAACTTGCATTGAGTAAGTTATTATTTTCTTAATTATTATTTTGAGTCGCAGGGGAGCAACAGGTGAAAAGGTTATCATGGAATGATATACTTATTTCATTGGCTTATCATATGATAAACGTCAATATCTTCATTTTAATTGGTCCGTTCCACGTGTTTCGCAACTTTGCTATCAGCTCAACATTTATTTTTTGTTTATTTTATTTTCATTTTCATCAGTAGTCATTTTATGTTTTATTAAGTAAGTAATACTGGTAAAGGATATTTTAAAATGTCTAAAAATGTATTGGTTATTGGCGGAGGTGGTAGAGAACATGCAATTGTGTGGAAATTTTCAAAAAGTTTAAAAGTTAACAAAGTCTATGTGAGTCCCGGTAGTCATGCAATCCAACAGGTGCCTAAAGTAGAAAATATTGAATTAGATGTAAAACAGTTCAAAGTAAGTTCGTTATTTTTGTATAAATATTTAAGTAACTCGTTTTCCTTATCTAATTATTTTTAATTTGTAAAATACCTACTTACAAACACGATTATACATACCTAAATATATTGTTGATTTTTTTAAGGATATTGTAACAATTTGTAAAGACAAACAAATATCTCTAGTAGCTGTAGGTCCAGAAGATCCTCTAGCAAATGGTATAGCAGACGCTTTATTAGCAGAAGGAATCAGAGTTTTTGGTCCTCAAAAAAATGCAGCTAGGATTGAATCTGATAAAGACTGGTCGAAAGCCTTTATGGACAGACATGGAATTCCAACTGCAAAATGGAAATCTTTTATTGATGCCCAAGAAGCCAAAAAATTCATTAACAGGTATTACATTTAATTTACTTATTTCATTTTTATTAGCCTGACATTATATTTTTAGTGCATCTTTTAATGCGTTGGTTGTAAAAGCCAGTGGTTTAGCAGCAGGAAAAGGTGTCGTCGTTGCAAAAGATAAACAGGAAGCCTGCAGAGCAGTTGATGAAATACTGGGTGATAAAAAATTTGGAGGAGCTGGAGAAACAATTGTTATTGAAGAGTTACTTTCTGGAGAAGAAGTTTCAGTAAATATTTCCTTTGAGTATAATTTATATCAATCTATAAATACCAGGAATTGTTCTATTTCAGGTCTTAGCATTTGCAGATGGCAATACTATTAAGCCAATGTTGCCAGCTCAAGATCACAAAAGAATTTTTGATAATGATCAAGGTCCTAACACTGGTGGAATGGGTGCTTATTGTCCTTGTCCTTTACTGACTTCTGAACATCTGGACTATGTAAAGAAAAACGTTCTTGAAAGGGCTATACAGGGGTTCAAAAAAGACAATTTAAAATTTGTAGGTAATATAACTCGTTTTTAATATTGATTATTACAGTTGATTTGAATGATTTTAAAATTATAGGTGTTCTTTATGCTGGTCTAATGTTAACTTCTAATGGTCCCAAAGTATTAGAATTTAATTGCCGATTTGGTGATCCAGAAACGGAAGTCATTTTGCCTTTATTGGACTCCGACTTATATGACATAATGAATTCATGTTGTGATGGAACATTAGATAAGCAAGAAATAAAGTGGAAGGGAGGTGTATCTGCAGTAGGAGTGGTACTGGCATCAAGAGGATACCCAGAAACATCTAGTAAAGGACAAGTAATCACAGGTTAATATAGACATTTATTACTTTTTTAAGTAAATACCTCTGCAAAGTATTTTCAATTTTGTCTAACACATATTTTTATGGCCATCATATTCGGTGTGGTATTCTGTGTAGGCTTTGTCACTGTTTTCAAGTGCCACTGTTGGATAAACATTATTAATTACAACACAACAGCAAATGATGTGAATTGTAATAGGCATTGTAATAATCAATTTCTCTTAAACTACTAAGCTCTGTATACTCACATCTACTTTTTTTGTAGGAATAGATACAGTTTCTTTGAAACAAGACCATATAGTTTTCCATTGTGGTTCTGCCCTAAAAGATGGGCACTTAGTAACAAATGGAGGTAGAGTTCTAATATCTGTAGCATTAGCTCCACAACTTCATATAGCTGCCGCAAAAGCTACAAAAGCTTGTGAAATCATTAAATTTGATGGGAAGCAGTATCGTAAAGATATAGGTCACAAAGGAATTGCAAGGTTGATTGTTTTTTGATAAAACAGTGTGGTTTGGATTTTATTTTCCTATACAGAAATGTCTTAATTTAGTAGGGATATTCCAGTTAAATGAAAAAATAGTTGGGTATTTTAGAAACTAGTTTACTGATTTAAAATACCATTTCTGGTTTAAGATAAATTTATAAGCGGAATTCTGCTATTTTCGTTTTTTTATTGTATCGCTTGTACTCTATCTAATTTTTTAACTGAGAATAAGTTCTGCTTAGATATTAGATTTTTAGTAATCTTTGCAGGGTCACTATCCATATTTTTTTAAATGCAGGCTTGGCCTTGTTTTACTATATTGCTTATATTTTTATAAGTCTTTGTAGGGCCACTATCAATATTTTTTAAATACGTACTTGCACTTTTTTCCTATTTATTTTCATTCTACATTGCTTTTTGACCTGTGAGTGTAATGCTTGAGACAGCCCTGGAATTAAACTTGTTATAGTTACCACCAAAGGGTAGATAAGGGGGGTAATGAGGGTAATCCCCCCCCCCCCAACCCATAGTCAACATCAATATTTTTTTAAACCTTATATTAAACAAAAATAGAGAGATAAAATAAATACAATAAAACGAAGAGTTTCTCAAACATTGTCATCTAAAATAATAATATTCCTGCAAATTGAAAATTAAAATTTATATACAGGGTCCCATTAGTGCGTAATTGTTCAATATTTCAATTTGTGTTTTTGACAAGCAAACAAGTTTAATAAATACATATTTTAAAAATAAATTAAAATGTATGTTTTTTAAATAGAACACCCTATATTTTATTTTATTTTTAAAATGGCTTGGGAATACCGTATTTAACCCTAGAATGTTTTTAAAAAATATTACAGTGTTGCCAAACAATTAATTTTTAGAGAATGATGCAGACCCCAAATTAAATTATCATAATTTAGGCAGGTTTACATTAATTTCAAAATTGTTTAATATACAGACTTATAAAATACTAAGCTAACGAATAGACCATTCCATTTCCGAGGTGATAAAACTGGTTTATTCTATACAGAGTGTTTTGAAACATGTCTTAAATATTGCTAAATTTAAGTTCAATTTACTCAATTTTTTCAAAAGCAACACACTGTATATTATCTTGGCATAAAATTCCCTATAAATCCAATGTGTTAGTCAATAACACATATACAGGGTGTCCCATCAGTGCATAATTGATCGATAGCTGTTTTATTATTAGAAATATGAAGAAATGTTTAATATAAAAGTTGTATGACAATATTTAACAAATATTCTTAAATATACAGGGTGGTCCATAAACGAGGTGCTGACCAATTTTAATTGACTTTATTTATTTGCTATGTTGTATAGGGTGTGTCAAAACGCGAGGTTACGATTTTCTCAATTTTTTAAATGGAATACCCTGTATTAATTAATTGGTGGTATGACATATAGGGTATTACATTTAAAAAAAAATGAGAAAATCGTTACCCCTCATTTTGAAAGACCCTATGTACAACATAGCAAATAAATGAAGTCTATTAAAGTTGTTTGACGATGTAAAAACAAATATAAAAATGTATAAGTTTGGTCAGCCCCTCGTTTATGGACCACCCTGTATATTTTAGAATATTTATTAAACATGGTCATACAACTTTTATATTAATTTGTTTTTCCTATTTTCAATAATAAAACAGCACTATTGGGACATGTTGGTATCGTTGGATAGGTAAATTTATAAGTAATTTTATGTAAAAATAATATACAGTATGTTGCATTTGACAAAATTGAGTAAATTGAACTTATAATTAGCCATATTTAAGACATATTTAACACTCTGTATAAAATAAATTCGTTCACCTCGGAAATGGAATGGTCTACAAAGATCAACTAGAAGTTCTTTTTTTTTTGATAAATGGCCTGAGAAATATTTATTAATCTTAAGTTTTATGAAATGTAGGGTGTTCAAAAAGTTTTGAATAAAATTGTTTCTTTAGCCCTCCATTCTACGCCAATGGGTTATGGTAATTTATCGAAATAGTGTATTAACTAATAATAACGATTAACTATCATCTACATATTTTTAAGTTAAATTCTTTATTGTAAGGGAAGATATTTAGAAAATATGTATTTATCAAATTCACTTTATTACCCTGTAGAATGAAAACTGGGATGTTTATAGGAAAATTATATTTAGCTTTTCTTTATAATTGATTAAGATCTACAATTCCCCAAAATTACGGTACTTTATTCTGAAACACCCTGTATAAATAATAAATATATAAAAAATTAAAAACTTCATTATAAAACTCACTCTTATTTCTGGAAATACACATATGAACTCTAGACGTTGCATTGGTACCATATTCTAACCCCCCAGAAAACAACCTAGCTCTGCACTTGGTTACCACAATAAGAGATTTGGTAAACATTTATTGTTCATGGCTGCTAAACATTTTAAACTAGACTAAAGAAAACTGTAGTATTATCATGAGTATAACAGTTCACTGTTATTGAACAATAATGATAAAATGGTCCAGTGACACAAATCAACAGGACGATTTTTATTATTTCCATTCAAGGGGGTCCTTTTTTGATTAAATTTTTAAAAACTTATTTAAGATATGTTATCTTTGGCTTCTAAAATTCTCAGATACTAATTTTAGTCGAAATCTGCCGACTTTTAAAAATAATTTTTATAAAAAAAATTGCTCAACCAATATATAACTGATCAGAAGTATAACTGGTTTTGCGCCAGAAAAGAACCTTATCTGCATACAAAATTTAAAGTTTTTCTATAAAGCCGTTTTTGAGCCATCGTGCCAACAGACAGACCGACAAAATGGGGAAACATGGTGACTTTTTCACGATTATGTTTTATCGAGGGAAGTAAAAATATATGTGGCGTTTTTGACTTATGATTTTTTTTTATTTCAACCCCCCTTAACATAAATTTTTGATCACATTTTTTTTTTTTTTCAAAATCAACGGGCAATTGATATCATTTTTCGTTTTTGAGTTAGTATTTTTTAACCTAACACCCCCACTCCGACCGGCACAGCGATGCGGCGTTAAACAATATTAACTTCGAATTTATTCAATAAAAGAAAATCGAAAAATCAAAAAACCGTAAAATCGAAAAAGAAATTCCGTAACGAAAATAAACCTAACACCCCCCACTCCGACCGGCACAGAGTGGTGCGGCGTTGAAAACCGTGCATCGTCTAACGTCGTTTCAGTTCGGCACGGTGTTTGTGTGCGTGCGACTAGACGTATGCGTGTAGACTAGCTGCTAACTGCTTATAGACACAATTTCGGAAAAATTGAATTTGAAAATGAATAATGATCCACTAGAATCCACAACAAAATATGGGACCACCATCGACGCGGTATTTTCCAGTTATTTATGTTTCTTATTTCAGTTACCATAAACCTATAGTTTCAATGATAAAAATTCCTGAATAACCTACAAGTATTGTAAGATAATAAAAATATTTTAAACAATAATAACTTCTCATTTATTCAGTAAAAGAAAAAAAAATTGTTTTCTTATCGGTCACCACGCTCAAAAAGTGTAACTTGAATTATTATCAAAGAAAAAAAAATACTGCATAAATAAAATAAATAAATAATTATAATTGCATAAGTTGATAAAAAATGCTATGCAATAGCTTTACCGCGGCAGTCCCCGAGTGCTACACGTATTTTTTTTTAATTTCAACCCCCCCCCCCTTAACCCCCCAGATTTTTTCAAAATCAATTGGCCTTGTTCCCTTACAGAGTTCGATTTTTGCTAAAAATTTCAAGTTTATATCATTTTTATTATTATTATTATTATCTAATATTATATTAAGGAGACCTCATTCCAAACAATGTTTTAAATATATTGAAAATAAAAGAGCTAGAATAAAAACGAAAATGTAAGAACTCTGTTATTGACTAGTCCCTAAATTACACCCTTTTTCGTATTTGACTGAAAATTCACGTATAGAACAATTAAATCCTGACCACTCTGTATATGTCCCAACTATATTATTTCTCCAATAAATCTATAAATTGAAATACTAAAAATATTTTAGGGCTATTTTACAATCAGGAAAACTAACTTACAAACAAAGTGGTGTTGATATTGATGCTGGTAACGATTTAGTAAACCATATTAAACCTAGTGCTAAATCAACAAATAGAACTGGTACTATGGGTAGTTTAGGTGGTTTTGGAGGTTTATTTGATACCAAAGCCGCAGGTTATAAAGATCCTCTTCTTGTATCTGGAACTGATGGTGTTGGTACAAAACTCAAGGTAATTCTAAGAACACGTTTATTATTATAAAATATTTAATTACAAATTAATTATAGATTGCACAAGCTGTTGGAATCCATGATACAATAGGTATAGATCTCGTAGCAATGTGTGTCAACGATATTTTGGCCCATGGAGCTGAACCATTATTTTTCTTAGATTACTTTGCTTGTGGACACTTAGATGTAAATGTTGCAAAACAAGTTGTAACAGGAATTGCAGATGGTTGCAGGCAAGCAGGATGTTCACTTATTGGTAACTAAATATGTATATTATCCGTACACAGATTCGGGAAAAAAGATCTACACTATATTCTGAAACATTAAGAGTAAAACAGAACACAATAGTAACAGTATAGTCAGATAAATAAGTGCACTATCGACAGTTCGATGTACAGGTGTCAATACCCCTAGTTCAGCATATTAGCAAAGAAATTGTTGTGTGTTCTTACTTAAATAAGATGTGTTCTCTTCTGCCCTCACAGATCCGCAATACTGTAGATATTTTATTACTGAATCTGCATAAAAAAGTTCAATAGGTGGTTAGTTTTTATAATAAAAATATATATAATAATTAAATGTTATATTAAACATAATTAAAAATAAGTTTCAAATTTTAGTTCTCTCCTTAGAATTTTTTTTAATATTATTTAATTTATAAACAACTCATACCTGCAGTAAAATTGTTTACAACCTTAAACCCTTTGGTTGTGTTTGGGCGGTACCTTGCACATGTAAAAGATTTGGAACATCATTATGTTACCTCCCCAATAAGCCAAGGGGAGGAGGCTTTTTATGTGTCAGTTTGAAGCAAACTATAATATAAAAGTTTGTTTATATTTCTATTTTCTTGGAGTTTTGAATCTATTGAGTTGAAAATTAAGTCTGAGTTTTCAAAAGCAGATTCAACTAATCTTCCACGAGTCGATATAGTTTGTATGCAAGTAATATGCAACATTTTATTGCCGAAGAGAAAAACAAAAAATTCAAAAGTTCTTAGTTAATTAACAATATAATTAACCTAATGAAAATGTTTATATAAAAATTTAAATATAAATCGTACAAGGCGGAAATCCTTAATAAACGCGAGAAGCTCTAAATTAATTAACAGTATAATTGAACCTACTGGATATATATATGTACAAACGGAAAGCTTCAAGAGAATACATAAATAAAATAGAAATTAAAAAACTAAAAGAATTAAATCCGCTAGTTTCAATAATTTTTTGGAATATAATAATGCGTTGTACGAAAACTTTTGCCAGTTAATAAATTAAATATCAGTAATACGGTCGCACCTATACACTTAATGTGACTGAAGTAATTTCAAAATCAACATGTTGGATACGATTAATGTCGTTCCAATATCCTAAATATTTCACTAGGCATTACTATCGAAAAACATACTTATTTTCCTCGCGATAAATTAAAAATAAAAAAACGTCGCAAAGTAGAGTGGTGTTAGCCCAGTCATTATGGTCGGCTTTTCGGAAAATTAAACCTGACGAAAATTCACCTATTAAAGGATTATTTTCAAAAGGATGTGGTTTACTACAGTTGATGCAGTGACGGACAATAGGGCTACCTTATCTCTTGATCCACGGATGTTAGTAAATTAAAAATGTTACCGATTGCCGGAGTAGTAAAGGGTCTATTGACTCTGGGAACCTTGGATGTTGAGAAATTAAGTCGGAGAAGTAAGACTACAATAATGAGAGACTTGCTTCGCTTACGTAACTGTAAAACTCACAGAACGGTAATCCTTACAAAGTTAGGAAATTAATTATTATTATTCGACCTAGAGGATAACGAATTAAATCCTAATTAATGGTAAAGGATAATATTGAAAGAATCCCACCTTGTATTTTCCCAAAGTTCGGACGGCCGGTGCAAAAAATAAATAAAAAACGACGGTGATCACAATGACGGTTTACCTATTAAAAACTCGGAAATTCAATAGTGGATAAGAGCAGCTGTGAAGAGGGAAAATTCTCGAGGAGACCGGCTTTATTCGCTCAGTGCGAAATCATGGTAGGGGAGAAGCAAGAGCGATACTAGCTCTAGCTGCGGATAATTCGTGCATTTTAGGGCGATATTTTGTAATTTTAGCATATTATATCAAATACATGTATACATTTTACTTTTTTTTTTTTTCAAAAAGTAGGTAAAAATACAATAAGCAACCGGAGTTGCTGTGTTGAAAATTGTAAAAATACTAGCAAAAAAAAACCAGTGTAAATTATAAAAATTTTCAGTAGCAAAGTGGAAATTAAATCAAAGAAATAAATGGATATGTGTATAATAAGAAGAAAAATTACCTTATTTTTGTAATAACAGTAATAGTAGATATCAGAAACTTGAAATGTTTTAAATAAACAATAAATATCATTTCACAATGTTCTTCAACATCTCTTTAATCTTAAATGTTCATGCAGCAAGAACAAGATTTCTGCCTTTGATTATTGTATGTGGCTGGAATGCAATTTTGTGACTTTTCATCATTCATTCTATGTTTTATTTCGAACAAAATTGAAAATATAAATAATCCTTCTGTTTATACATTTTAACTTCACGCTAATTATTTAAAGATATGTTTTTATTTTGACAGAATAGGTTAATTCTTCAACTTATTAGACTTAGGCAACTTCTCATACATTTTCCCGTAAATACTGTTGCCTGACTTTATTTTATTATTGATTTTTATTGAATATACTAATTTTTTTTTAGTTCAAGCGATAAAATATATAATAATAAATTAATGTTTTACAAACCCATATACTTTTATTAAAACTAACATATACTTTTTAATTACGAATTCTATTAAAAATTGTTTTGTCAGTATAGGCAGAAATAGTCCATTAGTACAAAAGTGAATTGGCGCTGCTGTCGCGCATGGAGCGAATACTTTACGCTCGGACTAATTCGGTTTCCGTGTGGTTCAGAGTGGAAGTAGCCAATATTTACAAATTGGAGGACTTTTGACATTTGCGAAAATGACCAGATAATTTATCTGAATTTGAGCGTTCAAAGCTTGATTCAAATTTCAGCAAATAGTTATATATTTTGAACTACGGGGGTCTCGCAAAACAGAATTTTTTAAGAAATAAAAAAAAAGGTTCTTGAAAACGCTAACAGGCGGAAATTAACTTAAAACATTTTTATAATTAAACTAAAGAAAAGTTAGTTACTTCGTCACAAACTATACTTACCTATTGATATTGACCTATTGTTATAGCTAATTGGCTATGTCTAACTAATTCCAAATAGATCAGGTAAACTTTTTGTACTACCCACTTAAGTTCAATTTAATTTAAAAAAATATGCATATGTAGTTAAAGGTTAAATCTGTTCACAAGCCAATTATCCATAATTGATTGTTTTTATACCTATAAAAAAAATAGTTAAAAAATAGTGAAAAAATAAAATCGAAATTTTGTTCCTTTTTTTTTGCTATGATAACTATATAAAATTTTGGAAAAGTTGCTCCAGAGAAACACAGATTTAACCATTTTATCTACATGTTACATGTTTTTTTCCTTTATTAAAAATCTGATGTGTCCAACACATGACTTTCCTATCTAGTTATTACAGGCTTTTTCCGTTCATTGTGTACAACCTATTGCAGCATCTCTATAAATGTTTAGAGGATAAACTACATTGTCCACATGCATCTACCGCGAAATATTTTTCTATAGATATTCATTGAAAATGAAAATACTGAAAAATTTAAATTTAGCACTTTTCCTACAATTTTTCCATTACGGTCCATTTAAAAAAAATCATGTATGAACAAATATTATAGAGATCGATATCGCAAACAACTTTTATTTCAACAATTTTCATAAAAATCAGAATTTTGCACATTTTGTCAAATTTCTCGAATACGGACCATTTCAGGAAATTTTTACATAAAGCAAAAATTAAAGATAATAATAGAAGTAACTTTTATTTGAACAATTTTCTTCTCCAAACATAAATAACAGATATATTCCATAAAATATAAAAACGGCCTCCCATAAAGTACCCCCCCAGATGTTCCGACTTTGTCCAAAATCTAATCATTTCACGTCAGGCCGAAATAAAACTTAAGTTTAAAATTTATTGATTTTTTCTTTATCCGTTTTTAAGTTTTCTTCAAATTTCGAAATTTACACATTTTCTCAAATATCTCGAATACGGTCCATTTTAGAGAAATTATCTATGGGACAAAAATTATAGAGAATTATATTACAAACAACTTTTGTTTGAACAATTTTTATAAAAAAATATTTTTTTTTACATTTTGTCAAATTTCTCGAATACGGACCATTTAAGGAAAATTTTGTATAGAACAAAAATTATAGATAATTATATTAGAAGTAACTTTTATTTGAAGAATTTTCTTCTCCAAACGTAAATAACAGATATATTTCATAAAATATAAAAAAGACCACCTATAAAGTACCCCCCCAGATGTTCCGACTCTGCCCAAAATCTAATCAGCTTATTAGACGCTGGAATAAAGCTTAAGTTTGAAATTTGGTGTTTTTCCGTGTATCGGTTCATGAGTTATGCGTTACACACACACACACACACACACACACACACACACACACACACACACACACACACACACACACACACACACACACACACACACACACACACACACACACACACACACACACACACACACACACACACACACACACACACACACACACACACACACACACACACACACACACACACACACACACACACACACACACACACACACACACACACACACACACACACACACACACACACACACACACACACACACACACACACACACACACACACACACACACACACACACACACACACACACACACACACACACACACACACACACACACACACACACACACACACACACACACACACACACACACACACACACACACACACACACACACACACACACACACACACACACACACACACACACACACACACACACACACACACACACACACACACACACACACACACACACACACACACACACACACACACACACACACACACACACACACACACACACACACACACACACACACACACACACACACACACACACACACACACACACACACACACACACACACACACACACACACACACACACACACACACACACACACACACACACACACACACACACACACACACACACACACACACACACACACACACACACACACACACACACACACACACACACACACACACACACACACACACACACACACACACACACACACACACACACACACACACACACACACACACACACACACACACACACACACACACACACACACACACACACACACACACACACACACACACACACACACACACACACACACACACACACACACACACACACACACACACACACACACACACACACACACACACACACACACACACACACACACACACACACACACACACACACACACACACACACACACACACACACACACACACACACACACACACACACACACACACACACACACACACACACACACACACACACACACACACACACACACACACACACACACACACACACACACACACACACACACACACACACACACACACACACACACACACACACACACACACACACACACACACACACACACACACACACACACACACACACACACACACACACACACACACACACACACACACACACACACACACACACACACACACACACACACACACACACACACACACACACACACACACACACACACACACACACACACACACACACACACACACACACACACACACACACACACACACACACACACACACACACACACACACACACACACACACACACACACACACACACACACACACACACACACACACACACACACACACACACACACACACACACACACACACACACACACACACACACACACACACACACACACACACACACACACACACACACACACACACACACAGACATCATCGCGAAAATAGTCAAAACGGATTCAGGGGACCTCAAAACGTAAAAATCCGTCGAAAACTCGAGGTCGAAAAAATCATGATTCCTATACTTTCCTTATATCTGTATACAGATAGGAAAGTAAAAATAAACATTAAAAGTGGAATACTCTACTGCATGGCTATATTTCGAATTATTTAAATAGAGACATATTAAATTTATATAAATTAAAATTTCCTTTGTTTATTTATATAAAATTCTGCTACGGTCAGGAAATTATCCTTATTCAAATATTAAATGTATTTTCCAAGTAAATTATTATCTTAATTAATTTTAGGTGGAGAGACTGCAGAGATGCCCGATATGTACCAATCAGGAGATTATGATTTAGCCGGTTTTGCAGTGGGCGCAGTTGAGAGAGATCAACTGATGCCGCATGTTCATAAAATTAAAGCAAATGATATAGTTATCAGTTTGCCTTCATCGGGGGTACACAGTAACGGATTTAGTTTAGTTAGAAAAATTTTGAAATTGGCTAGGAAGGATTATAATAGCGTTGCGCCGTTTAGTCAAGAAAACAAAACATTTGGTAAGTCAAAACTTATTTTAAACTTTAACCATAGGGCTGAATCAGAATGTTTACTTTTTTTTATTCAAACAATTTTTCCAGAAACAATTTATAGTATCTATCTTAACATGTTCAAATCTTTCTGGTATTTTTAAATTTTATTTTTGCATATTATATAGAAAGCCACGGGAGTTTCTTAAACGGTATTTTTTCCTTTATACAATGCATATATCTACTATTATGCAAAACATTTTTAAGTGTATTTATGTTGACCTCAATCAATAATTATTTGAAAATTCGGAAACAAATCTCAAAAATCCCCCTGCGAATTATCAAGACCATCCCCGAACCCCAAAGGTGAAAATAAATAGTTGGAGATTTGAAAAAAGCCTGTCATAGCCGGGATTCGAACCCAGACCATCACGATATTGACTGTCGAGATTCCTAGACGGCAGTTTGATGTGCTAATTTGGGCCAAGCGCCGTTTCAGGCTCGTTCTCATGTCTTATACTTCTATACAACATCGGTGTATATGAGAAATGCATTAATGCATACTGAGCCCATATCTTCGTCTGCGTGAGTTAAGTTGACAATGTACGTTAAGAGACGTAAACCTGTATATGAAAATAGTAATTTAATATCGATCATTCGTAGGGGGATTTTGAAATTTGTTTCCGAATTTTCAAATTATTTCAGCCTCTTATTTTTCAGATGTACTGATTTTTCGGATTTCGATTTGCGATTTCTCGATATTAAATTACAATTTTTATTATTTATTTAAAAAAGGAAAATAATTCCTAACTTAAATGTAACCAAGATGTAAAATATAGAAAATAAAAACTCTACGCTGTGTGTGACGATAATACGAGCGACCGTTTCTCTCCTAAAAGCAACTGTTCCTTTGGCTAATATCGCAACAGGCATTTAATTATATCGAAAGAAAAACTTATTATTGTGACTAGCTTTTCATTTTCTTTTTTAAATCATTTATTAGGGGTTAATTTAAAACTAATTTTGAAAAACTTTATTAACAGGAGAAGAATTACTAACTCCCACAAAAATTTACGTAAAATCCGTTATCCCAGCTATAAGAACAGGAAAAGTCAAAGCATTTGCTCACATAACTGGTGGAGGCTTAACAGAAAATATTCCTAGGATCTTACCAGACGGTGTTGCGGTAGAACTTGATGCAACCAAATGGCCTATACCACCAGTGTTCCCTTGGTTAGCTGCAGCTGGAGGCGTTCATGAATCTGAGCTGTTAAGGACATTCAATTGCGGAGTAGGAGGAATACTAATTGTAGATAGCAGAGATGTTGATGAAGTTTTAGGATTGGTTAGAAATGAAGGTGCTACTGTTATTGGGAAAGTAGTGCAAAAGGAAACAGGTAATCATATCTTTTATATTACCAAAATTCACACTGGTCCATAGTGTTTCCATACATTATTCAAGTTGAAGGCATACATCTGGTTGTAAGAACAAATGTTGAGGTTGATAAATTTTAACAAATGTTTAGACTGTTAGTTTTAAGTTCAGGTCATTCAGACATATCACTTATGTATGCTCTGTTAAAGTTTTTTTGACTCTTTGCCAGAGGCATTGAAATGATTTAATAATAACAAATCTAAATATAAATATAGATTATCTTCTTGATAAACAAAAATCATTTTTTTACTGGTTATTTTTTCCTGATATTTGATATTCAGTAATTAATGTTTTAGTAGTATTGTCTTGTTGAAATTGAAAATCTTTATTCAAATAGATAATCCTAATGTACTAACATTATTATTATTAACAATTTTTTTTTATCAATATCAATTTTAACATATAAATTTTATGATTTAAAACAACTCAACATAATTAAACTATAACACTAAATATCATTAAAGAACATATCTTTATCACATTCTTTCAGTCTTAATAAAATCTATTAACAATCCATTAAATTGCTTGATGTTACTTGCAGTATTAAGCTCCGTAGAGAGAGAATTAAAAATTAGACAAACCATTGTGAAAAACAGAGTTCATAGTACATATGTAATTTGTTCTAGTTATATGAAAATTGTCAGCACTTCTTGTGGGATCTCTCTGTATCTGTAACGTGTGGGTTACCCCCCCCCCCACGGCACTTAGGCCCTTTGTGCATCCTCCTAAGATGATAGGCACCTCCTAGCTCGTGAGGCAGCCTACATATTTAAAAAAAAAAAAAAAAAATTATTTCAGTAAGACCATTGCTACACGGTATTGGAAAAGTCAGTTTTACAAAGTGTTTTACAAAGTGTTTTACAAAGTGTTTTACAAAGAATGTATATAATTTAGGCAAGTAAACATAAAAAAAAATATATATATAAAATAAACAGAGCATATTATATCACGTAACAAATAAAAATAAATAATATTACACAGACCGAGTGGAGCCATACTTATTTAGTTAAAATTGTAGTACTCATCTACATTATAAAAACAATTCTCTAACAAGAATTCCTTAAGTTTTTTCTTAAAAGAATTAAAAATTTGTTCATCTTTTATTGACTGGGGCAATTTATTATATAATTGTATGCCAGCATATGACGGACATTTTTGATAGAACGCTGTTCTATGATTCGGAATTCGTAACAAATTACCATGCCTGGTTCGGTAGTTATGATTATCTAAATTTTTACTAAGTTCATTAATTTTTTTCCTAATATATATTATGCATTTATAAATGTAAATACAAGGCAGTGTTAAAATATTAAGTTGTTGGAAATATGATTTGCATGATATTCTTCTATTAAGACCAAGAATTAATCTCTTTTTTGTAAAATGTAAAATGAAAAGCCTATTAGAGGATGATGAATTTCCCCACACAATTATATTATATGACAAATGAGAGTATATCATTGCGTAATATATATTTATAAGTTGTTGTTTGCCTAAAATATTTTTTAGTTGAAATAAAACATAATACCCACTATTAACCTTTTTACTAATATAATCAATGCACGATTGAAATGATAAGGTGCTGTCAAGAAAAGTTCCCAGAAATTTTGTAGACTCGGACATTGTCATATTTAGATTATCTGTTGTCACTGTTATTACATTCTCAATGTTATTAGTAATGTTAAATTTCATCAGTACCGTTTTCTTAGAATTTAATATTAGGTGATTTTGTAGACACCACTCATTGAATTTGTTATAGAGGAAATTCAATTTGTTTGAAAGTTCCTCTAGAGAATTCGCACAAGAAGCCACTGACACATCATCTGCATATAGAACAATGCAATCTGCGTTTAAGTATGTTGGTAAATCATTTATAAATATAAGAAATATCAATGGTCCCAATACGGATCCCTGAGGAACCCCCATATCTACATTACCTTCATTTGAACAAGTTTCATTCACTTTGACAATAATTTTTCTATGTCTTAAATATGACATTAGCCAACTTAACACATTTCCTCGAAAACCTAAAGATTGAAGTTGACGTCGCCAAGAGGTGCTTCTCTTATATCGGCCGGTGTTAACCGATACTCGCCGAACACAAATCTTCTAATAAATGAGAACGTCGAGCAATCGTAAATAAGGATATGCTCGATGGTCTCATCTTCTTGTTCGCACCCTCTGCAGAGTGCGGATTCTGACAGCCCCATGATATGGAGATGCTTCCGTACTTGGCAATGACCGGTCAGAATGCCTGTGACTAGGCGCAGATTCTGTCTAGTCATAGTCAAGTATTTGTTTGCTGCAGTGTTGTTAGGATAACTTAAGAGCTCCCTGGCAACTATGCAGTTTCTTGTTTCATCCCATCTTTCCTTGAATTTCACAAGGGAATGTTCTTTAATTGGGTCTGTCACTACCGATTTTGTCAGGCCAATAGAAGGGCCAGGTCCAAAAAATATTTGGTTTGGCTGCTTTCTTGGCTAGTGAATCAGCAAGACGGTTACCTTTCGATGTGGCGTGACCTTTGATCCATCTTAATGTATTCACATTGTTTATGGATACTTCGGCCAAAGTTTCGTGACATTCTAGTACTAACCCTTAGTAAATTCGTGGTCTGTTTACGGTGAGTAGTGCTTATCTGCTATCTGTATAGATGAGCATGTTCCTTCCAGTGACATTGTTTCTGGTTATTTCTTTTGCTGCTATGAGAATCCCCGTTGGCTCTGTTTGAACTACTCTGGCACTATTGCTCACAGCCCATTTTATGTTTAGGTTTCACATTCTGAGCCTTGTTTTGTTTTAGAGCCGTCTCAGTGTAGACGTGAATCGTACCTACCACTTCCGGCTCTTCTATTTGTTCTATTTTAACTTTATATGGCTTATGGAAGATATATCTCGGTGAGTCCATGTTCACTTGAAGCAGTGGGAGCATATCGAGCGCCTCCTGCCAAAAGCGACGTCACGCCTCACCAGATCCTACATCAGGTTTTATTCCAACCATGCGGAGTCGTGTTATTGTCGTCAGAGCAACCTTCTTGATGTAAATATCAAGGGGAGTGAGACTAAGAATGACTTCCATGGCTCTTGTCGGTGTTGTTTTCATGGCTTTTGTTATGTTGAGACATGTTGTTCTTTGAATTTGTTCTAGTTTACGGATAGCCGTTAATTTTTGGGTTTTCGGTACTCAGACAACTGCACCGTATGTTAGCATAGGTTTTATGATAGCCGAGTAACTCCATGCGACGACTCTGGGGGAGAAACCAGGTGCGCCCTGTGGAACATCTGACACTACAGGTATTTCATTAGAGTAGGTATTATTTATTTCTGTTCTCTGCAATCTGTATATATTGCCTGTAATACCATAACGTTTAGGTTTTCTAAGAAGCAATTCAGTATCAATCAATGTATTTGTTGTCATCAATGAATAATTTCCATTTACTGATGGTTAACTGTAGTGCTGTTTCGTAAGAATGTATAGCCCGAAAGCATGACTGTTAGTTAATTAAAATATTATTATTTTCTATATAACTGTAAATCTGTTTATATACGATTTTTTCTAACGATGGTAAGGTATTTATGGGTTACTTTTTCAATAACTATTGTTTTATAATTATTATTATTACTATTCTCATCCTTATAACTGTTTTTCTATTGCTTATGTACTAACCATTGTTTTGGACTTTTTTATAGTGAAATGCGTGTTGTGGTTGAGTGGGAGTAGCTTCAGCTAGACTTCACCACAGTTGTTGGCATATGTAATTTATAATTGTTTTTTTATTGTTCATTTTTAAAATCTTTTGACATAAAGTCCTTTATTATAGTTATTATTAGCCTCGTGTTCTGCTTATACTTTGCTATTGTTTAAGGCTGTTTCTAGACAAGTTTAGTTATGGGTTAAAAAATGTGACCATTACTCCTTTACGAATTCAATAAACTGAATAATATTCAATGAATTTAAATAGCAATTGTTGTTTTTCAGATCAAGTTATAGTGAATAACTTTTCCAACGTAATGGAAGCTTCAATGAGGACATACATTCCTAGTGTTGTAGACAATGCTGCTAGTTTTAAAAAACGTGTAGGAGTTCTGATATCTGGCAGTGGCACAAACTTACAAGCCCTAATCGATGCTACACAGGATCCATTACAGGATGTAGGAGCAGAAATTGTTTTAGTAATTTCCAATAAGCCGCGCGTCGAAGGTTTACGAAGAGCCGAGAGGGCTAATATTCCAAGAAAAGTAAGTAATAAATTGCTATGAAAATAACTTTTTGTAATATTGTTTTTTTAGGTTTTAAGCCACAAAAATTTTAATAGCCGGTTACAATTTGATATGGCACTGCATCAAGAATTGGTGAATGCTGGAGTAGAAATAGTATGTTTGGCCGGATTTATGAGAATTTTAACAGGAGAATTTACAAGGAAATGGAAGGGACGGTTGCTGAACGTACATCCTGCTCTTTTGCCGCTTTTTAAAGGTGTTGATGCTCAAAAACAAGCACTGGAAGCAGGCGTTAGAATTTCTGGTTGCACAGTTCACTTTGTAGAGGTAAATTTTATTGACACACATTTGCTTATTTTGTAGTGCATAAAGATTTAAATTTTTTCTTTAAGAGCAAACCGAACACCTTGAAAATTTATAATTTCTTCTGAGCCTTTATTTTTTATCCGATTTTTGTGTAAATACTAATAACGAAACTTGGGGCATAGAACCCTTGAATTTTTTGCAAACCTTCGTAAAGTATTTATTTTAAAAGTAATTTAAAAAAAACATTTACACGCCATTCTATATTAAATCTATGAAAATTATCGGCTTTTTGTTTTAATAAGAGGGTGGTTTGACGGAAGAGTGACTTTTCAATGAAAAAGTTACTTTACTGTAAAAAAATATTTAATTTTTTAACATAAAATCTTTTTAACTCTACACACTTAGCCCAGCGAGTTTCCAATGTTTCAAACCATTCAAAAAATAATCTTTCGAAAATTCCTTAATATACGCGTTTGTCTCTGCCATCACCTCTTCATTTGTCTGAAATCGCTTTTCACCAAGCCTTTTTTTAAGTTTGGGAACAGAAAGTAATCGGAGGGAGTCAGATCAGGTGAATATGGCGGATGAGGCAATAAATCGTAACGCAGTTCGGCTAATTTTTCTGCAACAATAGTGGACAAAACAGTTTAATCTTTTTGTCAGATTTATTTAAAATTTTGACAGATGACATCAGACACATGGCGGAAACTACCAATATAATCACCGTAGCGAAAGTGTTGCCAATCTCTGAAAAGTCACTCTTCCGTCAAACCACCCTCGTAAATATGTAGTTTTTAAATGTAAGGATTTCCCACTTTTTCTTAAACGTCTTTATACAGTGCTGCCTTATCATTGCACAAATTTAAAGCTCTCTATATTCTCGAGAAACATATCGCGAAGTATTCCCAGTGGCGCGCTTATAAATAAAATTTTATATTAGAAAATCCTTAAAATATTTTCGCGAGAGGTCCCGATTTTAAAGACAAAATATTGGTTAGGAAATAACTGTAAAGTCTTTCTTGTCATATAAAGGTTAGAAAATCGTATAATGTTACTATTAGAGGTCGAGTAGTTAGGAAGAGTTTTAAAAAACCTGTTACCACACCATATTCATGGTGTTCCTTAATGATATGCGTTTATTTAAGGACATGAACTATGGTACAAAAATGTTCCGTTACAAAATACGGGGTACGTGCATATTAAGGGAAGGGGCAATTTTCAATATTTTTTTTGTAAATCGTTTCATGTTATAAAATGTTATGTTTATGTAATCAGTTTTCGTTGTTTATTACATGCTGATGCCAACCCTTAATGTGTTTGTTTCAATTCTTTTTTTTTTTTTTTTAACCTAAAAACGCATCGCAGGAAAACTACTCAAAAGAGCTCTTATATTTCAAAATGAAAAGGGAAATTCAAAAACAGTTTTTAGTGTGGAAAAACCATTGGCTTTTTTTTTCTTAAAACTGGCAGTGGCACTGATTATCCTAAAAATTATTTTTGTAATGAAAAATATGCACCTTTATTAACTGTCGCCTCTTACTAAATATCACTGAAATATTTCGAGCAGCTTCGAAAATATTAATTTACTTTTTTATCCTGTATTTTCGTACCAGAAGATTTTTGGAATATAGTTTTTAAAGCAAACTATCATTCATTTTTCATGTAGGCTACCCTTAAATATTCGCATACCATTCATAGTGTGGATAGTATTTAATGAAATAAAATTATTTTTTTGCGTTGTTTTAGAACATTATGAAAAATGGTCGGACATATAAAAGACACCTATAATAAAAAAATATTTTCCTTCCTTGTCACCTACTTTATATTTTTACCTAGGAAAATTGTATTTGTTTCAAACCTTTACCTATTTTCGTTTTTCATTAAAATTCTCTTCCTGATTATCTTTATAATTTAAATCTTAAGTATTCTTAACTTGATGTATCCAGAATTCATAAATATTAAAATACACAGGGTGAATCGTTCAACAAAAATTACATATATATTACTGGTACCTAGCTCACCCTATATTATGTTAATTTTTTTTATCATTTTCACTGTATATGAAATTGGTTATTTATTGTTTGAGTTTGCACCCTATGACCTATTTATTTTAAATTAAATTTGTAGGAAGACGTGGATGCCGGAGCAATAATTGTTCAAGAATCGGTTCCAATAGAGGTCAATGATAATGTAGACACTCTGGTAGAAAGAATAAAAGCTGCTGAACATAAAGCTTTTCCCAAGGCTCTGCAGCTACTAGCAACAGACAAAATTAAATTAGGTTCAGATAATAACATTATTTGGTCATAAATTGTTACTTTTTAATAAATTTTTCTATTTTCTGTTTTTTTTTTTTGTAATCGGCAAAAAGTTTTTAGAGTACCAACAAAACTAATAAAATTGTAAATGAAATAATCGCACTTTGTTTAAGAATTGAACTAATTCTCATCTCATCCGGATTTTTTAATCTATAAAATCTTATTTTAACAATGCTTCCCCTTTCCTATAACTTTCCCAACCTACATAGGACTTTCATTGGGAGCTATAGATTTGCCCTTTTTTATACCATATTGACAACTGACTTTTGGTTTCCAGAAATTTTCGTTTGTAAATTCTTCTTTTTTCACAAGGACAATCTATACATCACAGTAATATAAACACATAGAAAAATCTTTAAATTTTCTGTGCCCTTTTATAATGGGTTTGTTTTGGTTCAGTTCTAAAAAACAGTTGATTAATTAATTCGAGAGATGCTAAAATGGTGGTTACCACCTTATCGAAGCCCATAAGGGTAAACTCGTAGCGTAACAAAAACGAGAAATGATTTAACTTGGAACGAAAGCCGATAGTAGTATTAGGACGTCGAACTTTTTTGGTTTGTGAAGCATTGGCATTACTTAGGTTAAACCATGTGATGATTTTCAAAAGCCTTGATTTTTAAAACTATTCTATATCGCCTTTTGATTAGGGTTTAAAAACTTGTTCGAACAATTTATCCAATAATAATTGGCCCCTTTACCTCTTAAGCCTGCTCATGTAAAATATTTGGGCTTCTTACTTCGCCTATTTATATTCTATTAATAAAGGACAGAAGGATGAGTATTGCAACTATGTTAAAAGAAATAAATTGGCTTTCAGTTCAGAATTATGTTCAGTTCATGACTGATAGTTATTTATAAAATAAAAATGACATAGTACCATCGGCTCAGATCTATTAGAAAAAAGTCAATATAATTTGCAATATCACAACTATAATACAAGAAGCCAATCTGACCTTCATGTACGGTAAGCCATCACTAAAAGTTCCCAAAATACAATTTTTATTAAAGTTTAAAAAATGTAATAGACTGCCTGCAGAAATTAATAAAAAACAATAAATATTCAAAAGTAACCTCAAACAATACTTGATAAATAAACAGAACCGATATACTTTCTTGTGATAATACTCTTTAAACCTGCCCTTTTTAAGTATTTCCCTTAATTTATTGTTATTTTACTCCTCGTTTTATCCGCATTTATTATAGATTATTTGTTTTGAGATCATGTACTTTATTTTCAAAAATTACTTGTTATATTAATACTACTTATTATGTTTAAATTATTAATAGTTTTGAGGCGATAGGTTATAGCAACTTATAGCCACTAAACTATTTTTGTGTTAAAGTAGATTCATAGAGAGCAATGTAATTTACAAAGGCATATTTTCAACTTACAAATTAAAATGAAAAACACAAAAAAATAACTCGTTATCATAATCGATCAAAATTTGAAATGGGTTGATCACATTAAGTCATTAAAATCTAAAGGTAAGAAGATTCATTTTAAAATTTTATGAATTGAGGAAATTTAGGACTGAAGTTTACTAATTATTATTTACAATTCGCTGGTTGAATATGTAATCCAAAATCGTATAATTAAAATTATCAACAAAAAAAAACAGCATTATGACCTACCTCTCTTTTATGTAATAAAAAAGTGCTTTGTATTCGCTCCGTGCGCGACAGCAGCGCCAATACGTTTTTTGTACTAATGGACTATTTCTGCGTATACTGACAAATACAATTTTTAATAGAATTCGTAAATAAAAAGTATATATGTTAGTTTTAATAAAAGTATATGGATTTGTAAAACATTAATTTATTATTATATATTTTTACCGCTTAAATTAAAAAAATTATGTATAATTAATAAAAATCAATAATAAAATATAGACAGGCAACAGTATTTACTGGAAAATGTATGAGAAGTTGCCTAAGTCTAATAAGTTGTCATTGAAGAATTAGCCTATTCTGTCAAAATAAAAAATACCATTTAATAATAGCGTGAAGTTAAAATGTATAAAAAAGGATCGTTATTGATATTTTCATTTATATGATAATTTATTGGTTATTTAAAACCTTTCAAGTTTCTGATGTCTACTATTTCCAGCATTATTATTATTACAAAAATAAAGATAATTTTTCTTCTTATTGTACACCTATCCATTTATTTCTTTGATTTAATTTCCACTTTCCTACTAAATTTTTTTATAAAAGTTTCACTGTTTTTTTTTTGTTAGTAGGTGTACAATTTTCAACACAGCAACTCCGGTTGCTTATTGTATTGTTTTTACCTACTTTTTTGAAAAAAAGTAAAATGTGTACATGTATTTGATATGCCAAAATTACAAAATATCGCCCTAAAATGCACGAAATATCCGCAGCTAGGGCTAGTATCGCATTTGCTCTCTTTTCCATGACTTCGCACGGAGCGAATAGGTTTATGGTAACTGAAATAAGAAACATAAGTTTGAGACTTGATATCCTCTAAATATCTGGAAAATATCACGTCAATGGTGGTCCCATATTTTGTTGTGGATTCTTGTGGATCATTATTCATTTTCAAATTCAATTTTTCCGAAATGATAATCAAAAAGAGATAGAATCAGCAGCTAGTCTACACGCATACGTCTAGTCGCACGCACACAAACACCGTGCCGAATTGAAACGACGTTAGACGATTCACGGCTTTCAACGCCGCATCGCTGTGCCGGTCGGAGTGGGAGTGTTAGGTTTATTTTCGTTACGGAATTTCTGTTTCGATTTTCTTTTATTGAATAAATGAAAAGTTAATATTGTTTAACGCCGCACCGCTGTGCCGGTCGGAGTGAGGGGTGTTAGATTTTTTTTCGTTACGGTCGTTATGGAATTTCTTGATTCGGTCGCCGCGCTCAAAGCCCGCGATAAAAGCTATGCAATAGCTTAAAAACTTACCATAGAAAAGCTTCCTTGGTTTATTTAAACGTAAAAAAATCATTTAACTGAAGTTTTTTTATTTTTTCCAGTATTTTTCGCACAGTTGACACACCAGTTAACATTTATTTATACTTAAGATCTATTCGCCTATCCTCAATAGCTACAAATTTGTCTATAACATCGTCGTAAAATTTTGATAACTGATACCTGTTTAACAAGCTGTTTTTCAATGGATATTAGGGTTAAATTAGAGAGTCTGTCTTCACTTGTTGAATTTCGTATAAAACGTTTAATGCGCTTTAAAGCTGAAAAACTTCGCTCAACTGACGCACTTGTGGCTGGGATGGTTAGTACTAAATTCACACAACTTGACGACTTCACAAAGGGACTTATTTAAACCAGTTGTTATAAGAAAATTTAACACATTGATGGGCGTCTTTTTATCACTAATTTCAGTTGTTTCATAAACAACACTTAACTGGGACTTTAATGCTAGAACATCGAAAAAAATATTTTTAAAATCATCAATTTGTTTAATGTAAAAGCCAATGTCATTTGACTTTGTAAAATGTCAGTAAAAGGGAAAATCTCTGCAAAAATGTTGAGCAAAAAATTGAAATCAAAGTTTTGTAACAGTTTCAGCATCCCATATTTCTTTATTATCTCAAACGTCTTGAAAAAAGTGTATCAAAGAATCACGGTATTGAAACAACTGTTTGCACTAACGTCCATTGTAGTTCCATCGCGTCGGAGAAACTTTTGGAAACCTTTTTTGAACGTGAATGTCCAAAGCGCGAGTTATTTTCAATGACTTTGAAAAGAATGAAGCCAAACTATTAAGCGTCGAAAAGAAAACTTTGCAATCTTTAATATTTTCCATGCTTCGCGATAAAACCAAATTAAGTCTATGTGCTATACAGTGAACAAAAATTGCATGTTTAAACTTCTCTTTCACTTTAGCTTGAAGGCCTCCTAAATGGCCAGCCATTACGGCAGCACCATCGTAGCTCTGGGCAACAAGCTTAGAACCACATTCTAAACTTGAAATAATGTAACAAACAATTTTAAATAATGCATCTCCAGTTCGTTCGCTAGTGCGTCCAAAAATCCTAAGAATCGCTCTTGAGGAATGCCATCCAATATACATATCGCACAACAATGGATAATTGACTACATCTGTGGTTTCATCAAGCGCAATTGATACGAAAGATGCTTTTTTAATTTCACTTTTAATGTGATCCATCACAACGTCGGCAGTGAATTTAATTAATTCATTTTGGATTCTGTTTGAGGTACCTCGGAAAGTCGTCAAATCAATAAAATGATTTTTTAGGGTATCATCGTATTTTACTAAAAAACTTAGAAGGTCCATGTAATTTTCTCCATTGGTGGATCCACTTGCTTCATTGTGACCCCTAAAACTTAGTTTATGCTCTCCCAGGAAACAAGTTACATCTATTACTCGTTGTAAGACGTCCCTATTTTTTTACCCTTTCATTGTGAATTTTGTTGCTTATTTTTAAATAATTGTCCAAACTATGTTCAATACGATAGGTCCTGAATGTTTTTTGCTATTTACATGTCGTTTTACAAATTATTCAAGTCTGTAATACCGACTGAGTTCTAATGTGTTTTTTCGGCTATACTAAAAAGTAGGCAAGGCAAGCAAAACAATTTCTACAAAGTTTTGCAGCCGGTTAACCATTCATACTTTTCATAGAACCCTACGTGAACATTACTGGTAAATTTCTTTGCTGACTTTTCTACTTTCGTCTCTAAATCCTTTAGTCTACTAGAATTAATAATGTCCGTTTTCTCTTCAAAATTTCTACTTGAAAATCCATTTTTCAATAACTTCAATATAGACACAATTTACCACATTATTATTGCTCATAGGCACAGTACATAGTTCCTCCATTCCTCCATACATCGTCAACTCACGACAGTCTTATACGTACATCTTGAATGCAAACTACCCGAATTTTAAATTTTTTAAGTACTTTAATAAACTTTTAAATCATTTCCCCCCAAAGAATTTAGAACAAGTAGAAAATCGTAAATAGTAATAAACATAAATTAACAAATATTAGAAGATTTTGATGTTCCAAGGGAGAGAAGTTGTCCATTTGAATACTAAAAGTTAGGTTTTATCAACAAAGCTGATCTGAAAGTAACAATGAGAAATAATTAAGACTACACAAAACTAACATAGAAAAAATATGATAAAGTTTATTAATATTAAAAATCTAATGTGTACAACTTTCCAGTAAAGTTGTCAAAAATATATTGAGTACGGCCATTTAATGAAGTGTTTAGATAAGAATTAGAATTAAAAAATAGACACATTTATTTATTGGGAACATTTTTTTATTGCCGAAATAAATATTTAGAAAATTCGAATTTCGCACTTTTCTCAAATTTATCCATTACAGTGCATTTTAGAGAAATCATATACGGGTAGATGACAAAAACAACTCTTTAACACCATTCATAACAAAAATGTATTAAAAAAAGTTACAGTTTATATTCAATAAACTAAGAAATTTTGTTAAATTACATCATTATTGAAGGTGAAAAGTTAAAATTCATTAAGGAAAAAATGATAAATATGTATTGGATTTATTATTTTTAATGTAAAGATATATATTATTATTATTATTATTCGAAGACTTTTCTTCTCCAAATCATAAATAACAGAAATATATCTCAAAGTAGAAAAACAACCCCTTGTAAAATACCCCCTAGATGCTCCGACTATGCTCAAAATCTATAAGTCATTACAGGATGGATTAAAGCTTAAATTTAAAATTTGGTGTTTTTCCCATGTTTTTTCTTTATCCATTTTCGAGTTATTGTGGATACAGACATAAATCATCGCGAAAATGGTCAAAACGGATTCAGGGGACCTCAAAACGAATATTTGCCGAAAAACCATGATCCCATATTTTCCTTACTGGTTACTGTAAAGTAAAAAATGTAGTTTCGTGCAATTACATCACTTATGTAAATCTCGGAAATCTACGTCAAAGGACACCGCACACCGCTTATGGAAAAGTGGCGACCTGTTAAATGTCATAAATTTTTGATATGTTGCAGTTCTCGACCTTCTAAGCAATAGTATCCATAGGACCATTCAAATCATATGACTGGTTTTTGAGATACAACGTGTTAAACTTGAGAAATACCACTTATTTGATAACGGTTATTTCAGGAGAAAGCTGATCGATTATAATTTTTTGTGCCAAATCTTATTGTAACATCTTTTGGCATTCTAAAAATTTAAAAAGGGGTCAAAAATTATTTAATTTTACAGGGTGAGCCACAAATAAGTAAGAACATGTTTTTGATAAATACTTTTACTGTCCTAGAAGGTAAAAATATTTACTAAAAAAGAAATTATTGTTATATTTATTATATCTGATTAAAATACAAAAGACATTAGGTGCCATTTATACAGGGTGATTCGCAAATATCGACATAGGCCAATTTTTAATTTTTTGAGTATTAATGTGAAACGCAGTATTTTTACGGGACTTTTGTTCATTTACCATATATATATTTATTTAATTTATCGACTACATGATAATTTAATAAATATACTGATGGTTAATTTATCGAATGTGTCAAAAAACAATTTTTTAAGCACCCTATACTTTTTGATTAATCCTGTAAAAGTACACATATTTTTTTACTGGAGTATCACCCGTCCTGTAGCAGATATTTTCCATAATTACAGCTTTTTTCTATGATTGGTTTTTGAAATATTTTTACCTTTTAGAACAATAAAAGTAATTATCAAAAACACTTCCTTACTTATTTGTAGCTCACCCTGTAAAGAAAAATAATTTTTTACTTCTTTTTATATTCGTAAAATGCGAAAAGATGTTACAATAAGATTTGGCACAAAAAATTGTAATCGATTAGCTTTCTCCTGAAATAACCGTTATCAAATAAGTGGTATTTCTTAAGTTTAACACCCTGTATCTCAAAAACCAATCATAGAAAGAAGCTGTAATTTTGGAAAATATCTGCTACAGGATGGATGATACTCTAGTGAAAAAATATGTATACTTTTACAAGACTAATCAAGAAGTATGGGGTGTTTAAAAAAAATTGTTTAACACATTCGGTAAATTAACCATCAGTATATTTATTAAATCACCCTGTAGTCAATGAATTAAATAATTATACATATGGTAAATAAAGAAAAGCCCCGTAAAAATACTGCGTTATACATTAATACTTAAAAAATAAAAAATTGGCCTATGTCGATATTTACGAATCACCCTGTATAAATGGCACCTAATATATTTTGTATTAATATTAGATATAATAAATAGAGCAATAAATTATTATTTATTAAATATTTTTACTTTCTAGAACAATAAAAGTATTTATCAAAAACATGTCCTTACTTATTTCTGGCCCACCCTGTAAAATTAAATAATTTTTGACCCCTTTTTATATTTATAGAATGCCAAAAGATGTTACAATAAGATTTGGCACAAAAAACTATAATCGATCAGCTTTCTCCTGAAATAAGCGTTATCAAATAAGTGGTATTTCTCAAGTTGAACACCCTGTATCTCAAAAACCAGTCATAGGATTTGAATGGTCCCATGGACACTATTGTTTAGGAGATCGAGAACTGCAACATATCAAAAATTTATTACATTTAGCAGGTCGCCACTTTTCCATAAGCGGTGTGCAGGGTCCTTTGCGATAATAAAAATTCTAATTATAAAATATAGTTTCGTCGTTCCTAAATATACAGTTCAGATTATTGTAATTTATATGTAGTTATTTTGTTGGGTAATAAATTCAGATAAAGGAGTTTTGACCTTTGTCAATTTTTAATGTAAATATAAATAAATTTATTATTTGTTAAAATTGATTTGAATCAGTATTCACCATGAGTGGAGAACTAAGTGAAAGAGATAATGCTATTCTTAATTGCATTTTTAACCCAAACTTACCATTAGAAGAGGCTGCTTCAATTTCAGAGGAACAGTTGGAAGGTATGTTTTATTAAAGATATCTCGCTCTGTATGGCGAAAACAAACTTTTTTTCAATTTTGGTAATATAACTATGAAATTACATATTGCCCAAAATACCAGTACCTATTCATTTAGAAGATATTTGTATTTTTTATGTCTACATTTTCTAAAAAAGATAATAATTTATCAATATGCCACTCGTCCTAGAGAATAAAACCTCCATAGATAAAAAAACACGGGTGTTTCATATAGAGAAACTAATTTTGATATGTGTATCCCTTACTTAGAACACATTAAAAAATATATTAGGGCCTCGCTACATAATCAGATTAAAAAAAAATGTATAGGTATTGTTTCGCTTCTGGAGGTCGAGTTGGTATTAGGGCCCACACTGTGTATCTCTTAAAAAATAATAAACGGTTTATTTATATTCAAGACAAAGAAAATTTATCTACAGACCAGGAACACACAAAAAAATTGGAAATTGAAAGTGTGCAATTAGCTGAAAATGGAAATTTAACTGAAGCTCTAAGCATTATTAATAAAGCAATTGAAATAGCTCCCCAAAGACCTTCGTTATATAATAATAGAGCACACATTTTTCAGTATCTAAGAAAATTTGATGGTAAATATATTACAAATATTTTTAGCCTATTTCACAAAGCATCTTTAAATTTACCCACATGTATAGACTTAAATATAGAAAAGTTATTATAATGAATGTCCGATAGTCTGGCGTTATTTCTCGAACTGTTATTTAAGTATATTTTATTCTTGGTAAACTGATACTCTTTACATAAGTTTTTCTATCGGTTACTTAAATGTTATGCACAAAAATATTAAAGAATATTTAAGTTGTTATAAGAATAACCTCATTTATTTGAATTTTACTAATTACATAACGATTCCAAGTGTGATTAAAAAATCACGCCATCGTCTAATTATAATTTTTCTCTGAATTGACTTTTTCATCTTTAAGGATTTATGCATGGGTAACTATATAAAAATGCTTCTTGAATGCGGATGTTTATGTTAATGCCATTTTTTCTGCAGATGCATTTAAAGATGTAAATAAAGCAATAGAATTATGTAGTGAAACCCATCAAAAAACATTAAGCCTTGCCCATTGTCAAAGAGGAGTATTATACCGAAAATTTGAAAAAAATGATTTGGCACGTTCAGATTTTGAAGTATCTGCAAAAATGGGAAATACATTTTCTAGAAAACAGGTAAAATGATATAAAATATTGTTTTAAGAGCAAACCGGGCCTCTCGCGAACGCAAAAATGTTTTAAGGATTTTCTGATATAAAATTGTATTCATATGCGTGCCATTGGGAATACTTTGTGATATTATGTGTCTTGAGAATATTGAGAGCTTTAAGAAAAAAAGGTGGGAAATCATTTCATTTAAAAACTACTAGATATTTATTAAAACAAAAAGAAGCTATTTTTATAGATTTAATACACAATGGCGCGTAAATGTTTTTTTTGTAAATTCCATTTAAAAATGTTCAAAATAAATACTTATCGAAGGTTTACAAAAAAGTCAAGGTTTCTCCATCCTAAGTTTTGTTATCATTGGTATTTTCTGAAAATTTCACAAAAATCAGACTAAAAAAGGACGAATTATAAATTTTTGAGGTGTTCGGTTTGCTCTTAATCTATATAATGCGTACCAAATTATATAAAGCTTGATATATACATGTATATTAAAGCAATTATAATTTAGACTATCCTAGATTATACCAGTAATTAAATATTGAAAATGTATGTTAAATAAGGCATACGCCACTAACGTTTCTACATCTATGAAATGCGTTAACACCTCAGGTCATCGACTCCGAATACCAGAAAACAACGATCTAACAGTAGTCGCACCTCTACTTGGGAACTCGTGCACTTTCTGAGTTTCTATAATTCTGTGGTTGGTGCGTGGCAAATTGGAATGTATAGGGATTTTTGGAGCTTTTTAACCCATGATTTTAAGAAAATTATCAAATCGTCTGTTTACAAGCAAAACACACGAAGTAAGATTTGATGAAAAATCCCTCAATAATAAGGTTGTAATTCTTAGAACTATATCCTCAACCAGTATATAGAGTGGAAGAAATACAGTCAAATGATATAAATAAGTCAAAAATGAAAAAATCTAACTTTTCAGTCGGAAAAAGTATTTGACAACTATTACCAGACTTAAATCAGGGGACCTTTCCAGCACAAAATAGGGATAATTTATTCACCGAATTGTTAACATATGATAGCTTACCAGCCGATATAAACCACATATTTGTTCAATGAACGCATAATATGAAAATTACTATTCTATTATCACAATTAAATAATTAGAACATACCTTATTGAAGCCCTAGACAATGACAACTTCTAATTTTTCTGTGACAAAAGTCTAACGCTAATTCTACAAAATCTACATTTCACCGACTTAAAAATAGGATAAAATTGTGAAATATTTTCACTTTTTCAAAATATTGGCCAGAAAACGAATCGTTTTAGACAGCGTTGGCGCAGTAGCACTAAATAGAAGGGAGAAAATATACTGAATTCTTCAAAGCTCTAGCAGTCAAGAATAAACTATGAGACTCCTGTTCACAAAGATGCGATCATTTTTTGTTTTTAGGAGTTGAGACGAGATAAATAAATTTATTATTGAATTCTACTATTTACCTATGTGTACTTTGTACTAATAAAAATCAGGGAGGGATATCGCGCAGGGTGTCATGGCGGCGTTGACGTCATGCGTAGAGTTGACGCGAAATAATAATCATATGACAGACACATGTTGCAGTAGTTTGTAAGTCGTTCATAGTGATTTATAAGATATTAAACAGATATTTGTATTATATTATGTTGTAAACTTTGTTCTCTGTGAGTGGTTTTAGTGAAAAACATTGAAAACTTGCGGTACGGATGTAGTGACAATTAAAGCAAAGGATTCAAGGAAGATATTAGGGTTTTTCGCTTTCCTCGACAGTAAGAGCTTAGTCAGAAGGTAGGAGGGGCCCAAGGGCGGCTCCAGAGGAGGCTCATGGGAGCATGCCGTCCCTAGAGTAAAATTCTTAAAATCCATGAGCCTTTTATTAAAAAAAAATATGCTAAATAGGCAATTCTACCCTTCTTCCCAAGAAAATTGGTGCAGCTCTTGCAGTGGCTTGTAACCCTGCAGATAAATTTTCATATGTATTCCAAACACTTTCAACCTTCCAATTATAAGAGGTACCTCAAATCAGAACTTCACATTGGTTCATTCGCAACTTGGAACTTCTAAACTGGAGACTCTACCCTTTGAAGGCTAAAACTTTCGCAATATAAGAAAGAGAAATTGCAAATGTCGCAAAAAAAAATAAAATTTCGACTTTTACGTGATGAATGAATTAAAAAAACTGTCAGCGACTATGTCCAGGAAAATTGCAGTGACATTTAATTTTAATTTTGTATATGCACCCACAATATGTTATGTAGCTGTTATTTGTATTTCATACATTTTTTTATGCTTTACATTATATTACATGAATGTTTGCATTATGTTATATGGAAACACATATTTTTTTAAATTTATTTTTATTCAATTGGGTAATATAATGTAGGTAAATAAGTAAAAAGGTAAAATTGTCCGGCATATCCAGATGCGAAATTGTTACCAGGATCCCCAGTTTCGTCTTGCGAAGATACCCCTTTCATTATCCTGGTTATAAAAACTATTCTTTAGAAGTCCAATTTGTATAACCAAAATAAATCATTAAAAAAGAAAAATGAAAAAACTGTTAAAATAAATACTTCTTTTATGTATGTATTTGCATTTATGTTCCTTCATAGTTCTTTCCTTAACTATCCTATAATAATATACATAGATATTTGATGTAATTTCTAAAATAGTATCCTTAATATTCATGGAATTTCCTCACACTTCGTCAGTATTTTTAAATTCGCGCCTATAGAAACTCTACGCGTGACGTCATGCGCGTGGCCGTCCTATTTTTGACACTTTTGATATCCTAACTTTTATTTTTTATACCATGTATAAAAATGAACTGAATTCAATTCAGGCATCGATGTCGCAACCGGGTGTCCATGCACGCGGTGTTGCCGTTTGGGTGGACATTTTGAAGAGTGGACATTTTTGATGGATAGAGATTTGTTCCAACAAAGAATTTGGAACAGTTCGTAACTCATTAACGGACTATGTTTCTGAGCTTACATGACAATTTATTCAGTTTCTAACTTTATGTTGGAACGTACCTTATTAGATCCTGAACGGTTCCTTCTTTTTATTTATCTATGGTTTCTGGCTGGTTTCTTCGTTTGGTCTCCATAATAATTATGGTGACAAAAACATATTACTTATTAATAATTTGATAATAGTAAAGCATTTTACAGACACGCTTTTTTTTTTCACATAATAGGTTTATTTCAGTAGATGTTCCAAACAGGATCTAAACTTAGCAAGCATGCGTAATTTAAAAATAAGACAGCTTATTTTTAAGTTCTGCGCCCTTAAAATGTTCTAGAAACTTGTTGCTAGTATTTTAAAGCACATATCTAACGTATGCACAATAGATCCGTATAGGTCGCAGTGGAAGGAGATGTCATCCCATTAATTTTCCACCTATGCACAATATAACACTTTTGTGGTTTAATGTTTACTTTTTATATACTCACTCACTTTTGTATTTCGTTCATTTTTCCTTCACCTTAACTATAAATATTTGACCCCCAGTTAAGCAAAAAAATATTTTTCCGGAAATTCTTAAAAAATCATTTTATCTTATTCATACTATTCAAAATTCTATATTAAGAACCTTAAATTTTTATGATGACGTATAATAATTATTTTATGCAATCTTTTGTTTAATAAAAATAAATTTCGAAAAAGTATGAAACTTAATTCGATCAAAATATTATATGAGAATTATTAAAATAAGTACATTTTTTTATAAATTGTTGGAAAGCCTGGAGTTTAAAGCTACTTGCACGCCGCGGTGGGAGTTCTATGACACGGATATTCGAAAAAATGCTACACCGCATGCAAAATTGGGTATTATATAGAAAAATAGTAGAGTCCAGGCTTTCCAAAAACATATAATTCAATGCAAATAAACGTTTTCTTTGTAAAAAAAAAATTGGATAACTTATTTTACGGACATTATAATTCATTATATTTTAAGATATAAGTGGACAAAATTGTTTATAACTATTAAACGACAGCATAAATAAAGAGTAGAATATTAGGAGTAACTGAATAAAATAATTTTCAGCCAGGCAGTGCACAGAAAATAGAGGGCATGTCTGTAAGCTTTTTTGACATTTTCGTATATCATGAAAACATCATTTGATCTCATTCTTTAATCCAAATATTATATATTATCATAAAAACAATTATTGAAGGGTATAGTTTAAACACATACATTAAAAGATAATTTTATTTTCCAGCTCGTTGAACTTAATCCCTATGCAGCTCTTTGCAACCAAATGCTCAGACAAGTGATGGACAAATTGAAATAAATATATTTACAGTATATTTTATAATTATTAAGTGTACACCACATATTATTATTTAGACAATATAATTTTAAATGCAATAACCTATCAATAAAATGATCTCAATCATCACTATGTTTATATGCACTTTCAAAATAAATAGCACCAACTATATAATCAGACCAAACCGAATGTACAGAATACCTCATAATATTTTGAATAAATTATTTAACCCTGTATTTTAAAAACATTTATAAAGTACTTTACGTAAGTTTTAAATAGAAAAGGAGAGACAGTTTCAACTAAAATGATTAAAACTACAAATGCCTAGATCAAGTAATATGATAATAAAAAAACTATTTATAATAGTAAACTTACTTTTAAAAGTTTACAAAACAATCAAATAGATTGTTTTTATAAAACTCCGTTTCAAAATTATCGCACTATTCAGGTTTTTATATTTACTTTACTTTGGAAACTTCACGCGATATCTGCTTAAGCTACATTGAAATGTACCTTCGAGCAGAGTGAGTAGATTTTTGCTGATATAGTATTGCCAAGATAAAATTGAAAGACTGTGACGGTGCGATACTTTTGAAAAGGAGTTTTCCTTTAATTTTTTGTCAAAATAAATTTCAATAATTGTTACCATTGTCAGCCGGTATTTGAAAATTCAACATTCACTAAAATATTATTTTGTGTCTCTACCTTGCTCTTTTCAAAATCATTCAAAATACCACATGGTATACTGCTGTATATTAACTAAATCACTGTCGATTCTAAAACCTAACTATTACAAATACAAGTTCAAATACTTATGTAAGTATTTAAGAACATTTGTCGAGACTAAATGAGTTTTGGTCAAATCTCTAAGTAAATAGATTAATGATTTTCTTTGCATGTAATTTTTTTTTGTAAAAGGGCATCCAAAACGGTCAACAGCATATAGAGAAATATCTGTAATTTGCTTTTTATAGTTTTAAAAATTGACAAACCTAATTATTTTTTTTATCAAAAATAGTATTTTTGGGATGTGAAAATATTGCACCAAACGTGCACAGCATGAGGTGTAACATATATATCCCAAAAAATTGTGTACTTTAAAATGTAAATAGCAGGTTGGTCTGGATACCCCCGTTTTTTTTTGTTCAATTATTTATTGATCCAATTTTTATATTATACTTGTAAAATTTCTAAAATAAGTTTCAGCAGAAAAAGAAATATTTTAAATTTTTCTCCCAGAAAATCTGATGGTATATAAAGTAAAACGTTGTGAGGATATAATAATCAGTGTTCAAACTTTCCGGATGAGTTTAAAATATAATAAATAAAAAATCCCGAATATAAACCATTAAAATCTTAAAAAAAATTAACTACCTTTCTAAAATCATGAACAGCCAGAACTCAAAACTGTACTATATATTTTATTATATAGAGTATTTTTTCGCAAATTCAACATTCATAATTAAAAACATTACTCAATCATTTTAATTTTGTCTGAAATTGCATAAAATACCGAAATAATCCCTTATTTTGGATTTTTCATATTTAAGGTATATACAAATTAATTATTTTAAAAATTCAGTAAAATATTTAGCAGGAATTAAGTAATGTTTTCAATTTTCACCTACACCAAAACAAAAAATAAAGTTCAAAATTGCGAAAACGTACTGAGTTATAGTTTTTCTTTTCTTTTTTTTTTATCTACCACAATGTGCACGAAGATTAAAATTTAAAATTATTAATAAGTCCTATGGACTAGGATTCTATGTCCTCTTGGTCCACCATTTCGAAATCTTTGCCAGTGCTGGATCTTTGGCTAGATTCACTCTCGCTTTCTGACCCATTTATGTTGTCTGCTTGGTGTTCATCAGCTGTATTGTCAGCTCTAAAAATATATGTTTGTTTAATTTTCAGAAAAGGGAAATTTAAAATAAAAGTATGCAGCAATATAATATAAAGTTCAGTCAAAATATGAAGTGGGTAGGGTGACAAATTTGAAACGCGTATGAGACCCATATTTCTAGACGTAATTTTGCGTCTAGAATACGTTGCGCGGGGCCCTAGAGTGATTTAAGCTTTGGAACACCCCTTAAAATGCAAAAAACTCCCTGGCTAGTGGTGCTTTTCGGGAACAACGACGAGAAGGCATGGTGGGATGTTTTTTTGTCTTTTTATGAAGGTAAAGGATATGGGGATGATACCTTGAAGAGTTTGATGATGGTGGAAAACCCCCGAGGGTGCAGGGGTGTACCATTCTCAAATTTGAAATACAACAAAAAAGCGTTTTTCTTGTTTATTTTTCACTGTGGGCAAGTGATCAGGGATGAATAACATATTTATCATCTAGGAGGGGTGAAAAAATGCTTCTTGGTGATAAATCAGTGAGGAATCAAGCAATGAATAAACTCCGAATTTTTATAAACTACAAAAATACTACAATGGATTTTCGCTTTTGTCTCGGATTTGTAGAAAAACCTGAACTTTCCGTTTTTTTAAGCTATTGCATAGCTTTTATCACGGGCTTTGAGCGTGGCGACCGAATCAAGAAATTTCTAATTCCGTAACGAAAATAAACCTAACACCCCCCACTCCGACCGGCACAGCGGTGCGGCGTTTTGAAAGCCGTGGAAGGTTTTATCCGACCCTATTCGTATTAGTATGAAGCGGAGTTAAATATACGTCTGCGGACTGGAACGTTTATGCAATACAAGAACTAGAAGAGCTTTCTCTGGCTTCTAATAAACTGGTATCACAAATGTTCCCGACTGTCGTAAATATTAGATATTAATTTTTTTTGCAAGATTTATAATAGTATATTATGCAACGATCATGTAATAGTCCAAGATCCGAAATAAGGTCGACCTTCACCCATCTGTTTAATGGATGAAACTTTCTTTTTATTAAATAAAATATGTTTTTAAATATACCGCAAATGGGTTGCCTAAGAAAATTCGGTCCAGACTATTTATTTTCCTTAAAGTAAAAAAAACGACACCCTGTAAAGTATTCCCCAAATTCTTTGACTGTGCCCAAACTTTAATCAGCTCATCGCAGGATAGATTAAAGCTTTAGTTCAAAATTTGGTGTTTTTCCCTTCATCCGTTTTTGAATTATCTTCAAAATTTGCACTTTTCATCAAATATCTCAAATTAGGTCCATTTTAGGAAAATAACGTATAGAGACAAAATAATAGAGAACGACATCATAAACAACTTCTATCATGATTCCTATACTTTCCTTATTTGTACACAGAGAAGAAAGTAAAAAATGGCCGTGACCGTATTTTCTTAGGCAACCCATTTGCGGTATATTTAAAAACATATTTTATTCAACAAAAAATTACTTTTATCCATTAAAAAGATGGGTGAAGGTCGACCTTACTTACGGATCCTGGACTATAATGATGGTTATTAATACAAGAGCATTAACCGGGAGCCAAAGGCGAGTTTCGTATGGTTTATGCGAGTGTTTTAATAACCATTACATGAGAGTTGCATACTCTATTTTTTCTACAACCGATAAATAATCGAGACCTATAAATATTATATTTATATTGGTATTGAACACAATAGCAGTAATTACTCGTATTTGTATAAAAAATTCTACAAAATTGTAATTAATGGTATTACTTCGGGTATTGGTATTTCCTGCTTTCTCCGATATGTGTGGAGGAGTCTTCTATATCGCTGATATCAGACATGTTAATATTATAATTATCGAAGTTTAGCTATCTACGAAAATTTAATACGTTTTGACAACTAAAACAATTACATAGGAACCTAGGATAAACGTCAAACAGCATGCTTGATTGAAAAATTGTAGGTTTCTATTGATTAAAAATCTGTATCGTAATGAAAAATCTGTATCATAATGGGTATCATTATGAAACGGATTATGGGCATATAAGTGCATTATTATAATACGGGTGTAGAAAAAATATTAATTTTTATTTTATCAGTGTTAACTATTTCATAATTAAGCTATTGCACAGATTTTATCGCAGGCTTTGAGCGCGGCGACCGAATCAAGAAATTCCGTAACGAAAATAAACCTAACCCCTCGAAAAATCGAAAAATGGAAAAATCGAAAAAATCGTAAAATCAAAAAATCGAAAAAGAAATTCCGTAACGAAAATAAACCTAGAACCCCCCACTCCGACCGGCACAGCGGTGCGGCGTTGAAAGCCGTGCATCGTCTGTCGTTTCAGTTCGGCAGGGTGTTTGTGTGCGTGCGACCAGACGTATGCGTGTAGACTAGCTGCTAACTGCTCATAACTGATTCTATCTCAATTTCGGAAAAATTGAATTTGAAAATGAATAATGATCCACAAGAATCCACAACAAAATATGGGACCACCATTGACGCGGTATTTTCCAGATATTTAGAGGATATCAAGTATCAAACTTATGTTTCTTATTTCAGTTACCATAAACCTATAGTCTCAATGATAAAAATTCCTGAATAACCTACATGTATTGTAAGATAATAAAAATATTTTAAACAATATTAACTTCTCATTTATTCAATAAAAGAAAAAAAATTGTTTTCTTATCGGTCACCACGCTCAAAAAGTGTAACTTGAATTAATATCAAAGAAAAAAACTTGAATTAATATCCAAGAAAAAAAAATACTGCATAAATAAAATAAATAAAGTGGAAAAGCATGAAATTTTTTCTTAAAAAAAGGAATTGTAATGGGCTTTTGATGTCTTTTTTCAATGGTGTGGCAATAGTGACAGGGCTTACTTTTGTACTAAATAAAAACTTATTGTAAATATGTATTTACAGTATGGTTTTTTTTTTTTTGTAGAAAAAAAGTAGTTTTTACGAATAAGTTTCTTGAAGTTTCTTCTTATGGGTTGTAATCGAAATTGCAAATTTAATGAAAAGTGTAAATAAAGGATTTTTTCTACACCCGTATTATAATAATGCACTTATATGCCCATAATCCGTTTCATAATGATACCCATTATGATACAGATTTTTCATTACGATACAGATTTTTAATCAATAGAAACCTACAATTTTTCAATCAAGCATGCTGTTTGACGTTTGTCCTAGGTTCCTATGTAATTATTTTAGTTGTCAAAACGTATTAAATTTTCGTAGGTAGCTAAACTTCGATAATTATAATATTAAAATGTCTGATATTAGCGATATAGAAGACTCCTCCACACATATCGGAGAAAGCAGAAAATACAGTACAAAATATTTTACCGCAAAAATCTAGGGAAATACCAATACCTGAAGTAATACCATTAATTACAATTTTGTAGAATTTTTTATAGAAATACGAGTAATTACTGTTATTGTGTTCAATACCAATATAAATATAATATTTATAGGTCTTGATTATTTATCGGGTGTAGAAAAAATAGCGTATGCAACTCTCATGTAATGGTTATTACATGATCGTTGCATAATATACTATTATTTAATGAAATATAATTTGATAACTGATTCAAACCATTTATTTTCTGGCAAAACTGTACCATCAATTGCAACTATTGTAACCAACATTTGAACCAGTTTATCAAACAAATTGTTTGTATGGTCCTCCCAGTGCACATAGTTCACAGTTAATATAACTTTTTTTAATGAAAAGTATCGAAATTACACAAAAACATCAAGAAATTGTTTTCACGTAAATAAGTGCAAATAAACAATATAATGTAACCAAACGGCCGTTGAAATTTGAGGTTAGGTTCTATTTTTTTGACGTGAAATCTGTAAATAGCAAACATTCAAAATTTCCGCCAAACTCTATCTACCGACCGTCTCCGCAAAGTGCCGAGCGCTTCCGAGGTTTCCGCGGTTTTTAGTGTCGCCTAATAAATTGAGTTACCAAAAACCAGTGTAACAACATATTATTTACCCCTGACTACTTTCCCCAGAGCCAATCTACAAATAAAAGAGGAAAAACAAAGGGATTTGCAGTATTTTCAAATTTGAGTAATTTAATCCCTTCAGAGTACATCCCCGTATCATTTACCTCCATAACTAGACAAAAAGAAACATCCTGCAATTTCCAGAGCTCCTACAAAAGGTTGTTTTTTTTTTTGCATTTTTAAGAGTATTACGCCAATTAAATCACCCCGGGACCCCACGTACCATTTTCTACATGCAAAATTACGTCTATAAAAATGAGGCTCAGACCTATTTCAAATTCGTCGCCTGGCCCGTATGTTCACTGGATTAATAGTAAAATATGTGACATCTGATGAAAGATTTACAAAAATGTATTAAATTTGTTGAGTCAATCTCAATATTAGGAAAATGTTATCAGCATTATTTATTTATATTATAATATTTTATATTATAATTTCTTTTGGTAAATTATATACATTTTGTAAAACTGTAGGGCAACAAAAACGAAGTCAAAGTTCAAAACTTTCAAAAAGGACAAGAAATGACATCTACTGTAAGGAAATATACAAATTTTAGACGTTCAATAGGAACTTTATTCTAATCTATTAATACATAGTAAGAGTATATCCATGTCACAAATTCAACTTTAAAGCACATTCAGTTAAGGTTTCTACTTCTTTTAAATACTAATAGTGTATTTGTGATCTTTGTTTTTGATTAACATTTAATCAACTAAATTTTTTTAAACAATTGTCTTTGATAACTTTTTTTTTGTTGACCATTTAATTATTATTTTACCGGCCTGTGTTTAAGATGGAATAAACAACAATAGCCGAAATATTCTCCAGATGATTGAACAGTATATGTATGATCTAAGTTTTTAATGTCAATTTAAAAAAAAAACGATTTGAATAATTTTCATTTATTATTTTACCAAAGATTTGATATCAATTTAATATAATGTCATATCACTTTAAAATATAACTCAAAAATTCTGTGTTAAGTGACATGTTCTATACATTTTGTATAAATGCCTTAAAAGATTAATAAAAATGAATTATTATTGAATATATTAAATAAACAAAAGTAATTAAATTTTAATTGAGTAGCATATGAGTTATTATAAACTCTTCTTAATTTGCCTCGTTATACTATTAGTGATTACAAATTAATTATAGTAGATACTATAATTCAAGTATTATAATTATAATTATAATTATAAAATACTTACTCTGACACTTCAGCAACTCCCGAATTCGAAGAGAGTGGAGCATCTCCTCCAGTATTTTCATCATCCTTTTTATCATCTTCCGCATCAGAATCCTTGTCTTTTTTCTTCTTTTTCGACTTTTTATCACTTTTATTTTGATTTCCTTTATACTCATACTAAAAATATTTCATCTAAACCAATTTTCATTAAACTTTTATTAAATGCGAACTTACGGTATAGAGAGGCCAAAACGACGCAAAGAAACCCACATCCTCTGTCAAATTCGGTAATATCCACAAATGATGTTTGCCCATTGTAAGGAACCATATTAAGCAGAATACTATTAGACGAATAACTGCCAAAACAATTATTGATACCAAAAAACCAGCTGCAGCCACACTCAAATAGTAAACTCCCAACCTTAAAACGATAACAACTTAGTAACAAACAGTACTTATTTGTAAATAAATGGAAAATAATCAATCTACCTGACTGATGGAGGCCACAGAGGAAACAGGCAAACTCCTATGGCGCCAAGAACCAACAGAGTACCAATTATCCAATAATGGAAGGGAATTGGGTCATATATCCAGACATAGGCATCCAAGCTGTCTTCGAACCTTTGATCAAAATGCATTTCCAATCTGATTTTCTTCTTTCGCTTTTCCTTCTCAGACTACATAAATGGAAGAAAGTTTATAATTTAGTCTCAAATTTTGTTAATAATTTAGAATGTCCGTTGTCATCCCTCCCCCCTCTCAAATGAGACGCTTATAACAAAAAAATCATATGTACATTGTTAGTACAACAAATCCTTAGTAGATTGAAAAAAATAATTATCTGTACAAAAAAAAAAGATTCACTATACTGATACTTTGTACCAGCGCCTGACCTAAATCTATCAACATAATAATAATTATCAACACTCCCCATTTTAAAACAACTACGGTACAGAACATTATTGAGTAAATGTGACTTGCACTTGACCAAATTATTTATATTGACATGTCTTATCTATAATTTATAGGCTAAAGATGGACAAAGTCTGTCTATGATGAATCCGGATTTTCCTTGATATTTTAATGTATGTATGTAATTCATTAAATAAAAATAAAAACACATTTTAATACTGAATAAAAAATATATATTTACCTTTTGATCTTTGGAGCCTTCCACAACACTGCTCTCAGCATCTGTCCCTTTGTTCTTCTCATTTTTATCCTTTTCGTCTTCACCTGACTCAGCCTTTTTTTCTTTTTCTTTGTCTTTTTTCTTTCCTTTTTTTCCTTTTAATTCATTTTCATCAACTGGTACTTTGCGAGCTCGATGGAAGAATTTGTGTATTAACATTATATGGAGATAGTCGCATATTTCTTCCCGAGTTTTAAACAAAGGGACTTCTCTGGTAGCGAATGGTGATGTCAATAGGGCATCAACTGCCCTAGAACCTAGATAAAAAAAATCATATATAAATAATTTGTAAAAAAGTATAATAATAATCATATATGAAGCAATAAAAATAGCAACATTTGCAAATAAAATAACAATAAAGTTTTATGACCGGTTTGTAACGAAAACAAATCTAATAGACACATAAAGATAGACAATGTACCTGTAAAATATTCCACATTATGGTTGGCGAACTTTGTTTTTTTAATCAGAACATTTTTTCTCATCCATTTTCCAATAGTAAATTCTTCTTTTGTTGGTTTATCATCGATATCTTCAGCATGGCCATAGTCCTAAACGGAATTAAAAATAAAAAAAAAACATTTTAGTGCAAAATTATTAAAAGCAATAGAAAATAGAACCATTAAAATTACAAATAAAATATTACAGTATATAAAACTGAGTATTTCACCAGAATTGGACGATCTTATAAATATTCATACATGATAGAGCTGAAAGCAATGGTAGGGGAGGAGGCTTATTATATTTATATCTACTTAATATTAAGTATAACATAATTATCAATAAAACAAACAAAAAACCTAGAACAGCTGTGGATTAAATGTAAAATTAAACATAATATTTTTTGTTTTGGAGTTTTATATCGTAAGCATAAAACAAAAAATATTCCCTGTGTCTTGAGTTCTGATTTCAATATTGACCTGTTAAAAGAGAGTATACCCAAAAATTATTTTTTTGCAAGTTTTAGTTTACACGCATTAGCAACAGTATCAGTAGTTTATTTACTTAATATACACCCCTTCACAGTTTTATATTTCCATTCACAGAGTAGGAAAAATACAGCATTTATATAATATAGGAAACAAGTTTAAAATGACTAGCAAATATTACAAGTTATAAAATTTGAAAAAAAACCGATTCCAAAATCGTGCATTACAAATTGAGTTTGCTAATTTTCTCATAGAAACCATAACCAGATCTTGAACAAATTTATATAGTACCACTCCTGAGGTACCCCTTTCTAATAAAAAAGAATTATAGAAATCGGACAAGGTGGTAAAGAATTATCGCTGAACATACATAAAAAAAAAGAGTTTGATGATTTTCCGATGGACCCCATTATTAGATTTTGATCAAATTTATATGGAACCATCCCGGAAGTACCCCTTTCTAAAAAAAGAATCATAGAAATCAGACGTGGTAAACAATTATTACTGAACATACATAAAAAAAATATTCCGACGAATTGAGAACCCCCTCCTTTTTTGAAGTCGGTCAAAAAACAATAGAACAATTAAAATAGAAGTCGCACGAAGACGAAATTTGAGCGCGACGTCGTAGACGATATGGACAATCCACTCGAGTTGTAAAGTATATTGTTTCTCCGACCCACTAACGAAAATCTACAAATATTAAAAATTACTTTAGGTTATTAAGATAAAATAACTAATTTAAAAATAATTTATGACTTTTACTAATTTATAAAATAAACAAGAAAACAAAAAAAGAATAAATTTAATTTTCTCATTCCCGAGATTTGAACCTGGGCATTCTGCATGAAATGCAAGTGCCCTGACCTCACCACCATCTATAAGCTCAACATTTTTGCTTTAATACTCGTAATTAAATTGACTTCATATAGTTTTATTTAAATTAACAAATTATTTATAATTTTAGACGAAATAAAAATAGAAATTCTATTATTTATCGATTCTACACAAGAATAACTCATTTTAATGTATATTTAATCTCAATAACTAAAAAATATTCTGAAAATTAGTTTGACAGAATTGTCACTTATATAGAATTTAAAAAATAATAGTAGTCGATTGACCAAAATATGAACTGTGATTGGTAGATTTAATTTTTTTGCAGTGTTCTCACTTCCTAAAATGGATATGAAATATATTTGTTCAGTTTAACGAATAGCATACTTTTTCGTTTTGTAATATGTGCGTAGATAAGCTATTATCCATGTGGGTGTAGAAAAAATATATTATGTCACTATTACTAATTGGGTGTTATAGCAGTTTCAGATAGTGAACACTTTTGCAAGGTTTTTCAATTAAATTTTTGCTGGCAGTTTTTAAATTATTTTTAAGTCATTTATATACATGCATAGTTTAAATTTAATATATTTAAATATTTAATCAATAATGTAATGTTTTCCCGTTAATAAATAAATTATTAAATATTTCTACTAAAAATGCTATCGACAAATAAATAACATTTTATGATTTCAAAAAATTAAATTTTGCTACCATTTCCAATTTTATGGCATCAAATATACAACTTAAATAATATTAATAATCAATTAGTTTTTGAAAAAGAATCTAATAATCATATTTGATACTTAAGCTCCTGTGAAAACAGATACAATAAAAGAGAAGACATAATTAAGAGATATGGACTTTCTAAATTCTAAACGGTACTTGGACATATTATAAAATCTAAAATTATGTCAATGGTGCAATCAAAAGGAAAAACGGACTTATTTGCAATTTGTATTGTGTAAAAAACAAGTAAATATATTTGGAACATACTTTGTTCTCTAGATATTTTACCTAAATATAAAAAGACTACAAGTCAGATAGGGGAAATTTAGGGGATGATTTTTCCCAAACCTCAAGCTATACAATTTAAATATTACTATATGAAATCCTATAGGCGCCATTTCGTCAATTTTCCATGGTATATGGGACTTCAACAGAAAACTGAACTTTCCAATTCAGATGGCATTTATTACGTAGATATTTATTGAAGTACTTATAGTTTTTATAGGAAAACGATTATAACCTCCTGTACATCGTAAGATTTCAAAGAGAGATCTCACACTTTATATACAATTGCCGACTAAAATAATTGGCAGTTAAAGAAAAAAAATTCGATTACTTTTATTGTGGTGAATATGATCGGAAAATGATTTTTTTTTTACTCTAGTACCATTATTTTTGTGGGCAGAAAAGGGTTTTCATATATACGAGGGCTGCCTTTTAAGTTTTGCATATAGATCTAGAATAAAACAGCAGATAGTGTTTAAATATTTTATTGTTTTTCAAAGTATTCTCCGAAGATTAATGCACTTTTGCATGCGCTCGAACCAGCTCTGAAAGCAGTTATTCCACTCCTGGGGGTGTCACAGCTCCAATGGCTGTTTTGAATGCCTCAACTGCATCTTCTGGTGACGCAGTGCGTTCTTGATTTTCGGAAAGGTAAAATCGTTGGGACTTAGGTCGGAACTGTAAGGAGGGTGGTCTAACAACTCGACGTTTTGTTACTCTAAGAAGGCAATTGTTTTGCGAGCTGTGTGCGCACTAGCATTGTCTTGATGGAGGATGATTCGTCGTTTGGTGACGGATAAGCTGCATGACGTCGCACACTGGGGCAACAAGCCCTCAAATTTGGCAATAAATCAAAAAATTAAATAGCATATACACTCTACCTCAAATTTTTTTCTGATATATTACTATCCACTACATAATAAAACGAAGAAGTGCGATCTTCTGTCTTACGCGTTTCATCACCACCCTCAGTCGAAGTTACTTATCTGAGGCGAGTATATATTCATTGTTATTTCGTAGTTTTTAACTTGTTTTTGTGCTGTGTTTAGGCTGTATTTTGATTTTTTTTTTTCAAATTTCCGCCACGGAACCTTCAAGTTCAGCTATGTATTATTATTTTAATAAGTAAAAAGTTGTAGAAAAATAAACTTAATCATATAATATTGGGGTTAAGTAAAATGAAGGTTAAAGTTAAAATTTTAAAATATTCTTAAATACATGAAGGCTATTTGTTGTGTTCCAAAGCAGTCCAAGCTTTAAATTTCGACTTTTCATAATGAATATTGTTTGTACTTTTTGAAATCGTTTAGTTTCTCTGCACTTATTTGCACTTTTCTTCACTATTTGGGTTTTTTCAAAGTATATAAATATATGGCGCGACGATCGTCAAAAACGAATTCTGGTTTTTTAATATATTTCGTTTATTAATCAATCGATTTTATTGTCCTTAGTCTCATTTTATAGGCAACTAAATATGCTCCCAGACAGACATAACAAAATGCCAGAAATGTAAAATTTAAGATGGCCGACCTAATTGAAGAAAAAAAAACGAGCCTAAAAGTAACCCATTTTAAGCTCGTTTTGCGTAATAATTATAAATTAAATATAAAATCTAATAACAAAAGTTTAATATCAAACCTATTTTCTTTATTTTAAGACCTCTCCGAGCACGATTGGTCCATTCAATCGTAAGATATAGACAATCAAAGTTGTCTGGTTTTTATGTTTTCATAGAAGCTTATAATAACACATTATTATGCTTTGCAACGCTGCTATTTTAGTTTTTGACCGATTTGGACTCAATGGGTCTGATTTGGTAGGTATGTAAATATACTTTCCGACCATTAAATTAAAATGGCGGAAATTTTAAATTCCAGGATGGCGAACCTAATTGAAATATGACTTGATTTAGAGCTAGTTTATTTTTGGTAGATCTGGGAGCACAGTTAGTTATCTATAACATGAGCCTAAGAACAGCAAAATCGGTTTATTATTTAAAAAATGAAAATAAAAACAAAATACAGTTTTTTATAGTCCACCCGGTATAAATAAAACATAACACTGTTTTGCACATAACAATTTAATTTATTTGTTATTTTATTTCAGGAACGAGGTTGAACACTATATTTTTATCGAGCTAGAAACTTCTTAATATCATGAGAAGTTCTGGAAAGAACGAAATTAATAGAATTTGCTCAGAACACCGCTAGATATTTTGTTGAAAAGTACCCACGGTCAATATGCCTCCGACATTGCACAAATACTTTATACATGGGCCTGAAATAATATCTTCTGCTTTGTTGCCTATAGACCAATAATAGAGAAAACTAATGAGGACGTCTTTAATTCGTTTTTACTTAGTTTCGACCTTGTAATCACGAGCAAACGAAAATTAAAAAAAGAAAGAGCCTGCAGCACTTTTCTAAAGAAGCAGTAGATTTGTTTAAATCTGGACTCGTCCAGCTTCAGAGCCATGGTATATTCATGACACTGATGATGACCGTGGAGACGATAAAGAAAATGTCTTATCACATTCTAAAGAGGATGAAATTTGATTACAATCATCATAGCTTTTCTAAATCAAATTATTATAATATTACGTTTTTATTATCTGCATCTTTAACGTGTGGAGGGTGGATTACCCCCTCGGCACTTGGGCCTCATTAGGCCCATGACATTTTTATTATATTATATGTTAGTATTACAAAAGAAAATACAAAGAGGGCTTATAAAGTGTTTATTTGCTAAAAAAAAATTGATATTAAGAATAG